GGGGGGGGGGGGGGGCGTGGGCTTGGTGAGTGCAGCTCTGTACCTGGATGGCAAACGGTGGTGACGAAAGGGAGATGGGGGATAGAGAGTTCGCATGAGACTACACGTGGTCAGATTCGACATTTGTTCTTCATGCATTTATTGTTCGTGTTGCGTGAGCTCTGGCACCGGCATGTGCCGTGCGGACTGGGGTTGCTATTTAACCGTGTTGCATTACATAGCTCGCAAGAGGGGAGAGAGAGAGAGAAGGAGGTGTGCCCACAGACAACGGGGACTCCGTACTATCATCATCCAAAGGCCTCTTACCGCAAACCCGCCAGGAACATCCCAACTGTAGCGGCTAATTCAGACCAATCTCAGTTTACTTCCACGCAAGAACATTTATCTCAGCTACAGCCCGAGGGGATGGAGGCACTCCTGTACGGCTGGATGACATGGGCCCCACGTCAAGACTAATACGGGACGTTGCGGACGATACACCACCGACTGCTCCAGCGAGTTATCATTTACCAACGCAAGAAGGGCACCCACCGGCAGCATTCCTACACCCAGACCCTGAAGAGGGTAGGTGCCAGAGCGTGGAAACCCCTATCCGGCAACGGAGCCTGTTGTTCGCGGGAGCGCTGGCAAGGCAGCCAGACGGACGACTCCCGAAACGGGTGATGCTTGGCGAACTGGTGGAGGGGGAGGGTCCAGGCAGGGGAAACCGGAGCAAAACTGGCAGATGTGCCTGAAGGACGACCTGAAGATGTTCGAACCAGAGCACGGAACTACGGACGCCGAGCCATGCTTCTTCGGAGTTCCGGAAACAACTTGGATGGAAGCAGTGAAGGTGCACCGGGGGGTACCGTGGCATACAGGGGTAGTACTGCAGGGAGCTAAGTGGTTCATGGCCTCCTGGCACAAGAAGGAAGAGGAGACTAGCCGACAACGAGCGCTCAAACTAAACAGGAAGCCCTACAACAACACGGACACGGAACAACCACGGGGGTGGGAGGGGTACACCAGGCGGGCGAGACGGCGAGGAAAGGAAGGAAACGCGAAGCGGCGGACCGAGTGGCCCGAAACCGAATTGAACCCCTTGCTTGACTTACCCCCCCCCCCCCCCCCCGGCACTGCACCATTGCACCAACCCCCGCGATCGATGACGTGTATGTGCTGGTTCGAGTGGCCCGCTTTGTCTTGAGTCGTTTTGTGTCATTTTGTGTGTTTGTTTGTTGTCTGTCGCTACGGCGTGTGTTTTTCTCTGTCTGTGTCTTTCTCTTCCCCCTTTGCTTCTCTTCCCATCTGCTCTCTTCCTTCTCTTTTTTCTTTTTCTTTTTTCTATCTTTTTCCAATCTAGGGTTACCTCGCATACAGAACGGGCCCGGAGATAAGAAACGTCATCTTCGTGTCGAGCCTCAATTTCTTTTTTTTCGCCCGAAGGACCAGCCGCAGGTAGGCCAATTTCTTAAAAACGGATTCTTCATTCCTTTGGGCTGTTCTGTCGCATCATCCTGTGCTCTTATTCTCTCTAAGTTTCTCTATATAATTATTTCTGCGAAGAAACCATCAACACACCAAGCCTTTTCATCCAGAATTTTAAATCGACAGCTTGGTGGTGACTGAGGTTGTCGCCCTCCTGAACTTCCTGACTCCCGTGATTTCTGGCATTACAGCAGTACAACACAAGTGGGTAGCGCAGCCCGCGGCGGCCGGGGGCCCGGGGGGCGACGCGAAAATATCCACTTTCCCCCCCCTACCAAAACATTGCATGATGAGCTAGCACGGACCTGGCAGCTGCAGTGGGACGTGTCTTATTGGACACGCTTCCTCAGCGGTCCGTTGTTTCTTTTGTCTCGGAGGATCGTTCGATCATGTTTCTTATTGGGACGTTTCTTCTGCCGTGGCCGAGATTGAGCTGAGTTTCGTAGTCCTTTGTCTTATGTTTCGTAAACGTTTGAGCTTTTTTCTCAACAATATTTTTTCATAATTGCGGGCCCGTTCTGTAAAATGGCCTAGACTGTCTGTCGTTGACTTTTATTGGCTTTTAGACCCTTCGGGTCATTTTCTTTTCGTATACCATTTTTTGGGTAAGTTAGCCTGTGACTACGGGAATCGACCCCGTCAAGTGTTCGCCTAGTGTTGTACGGACAAAGGAAGGTACTGGGCAGAGAGAACGGAACGTTTTTTTGTGAAGACAACAACAACGGCAACAACAACAACATGTACTTTGCACGAGTTGGTGACTATATGTTGGGACTTGAATCTAATCTGAGTTGACTTACTTGGTTAGAGTACGTCGGTCGTTTCGCCGCACGGCCGGGGGAGAAGGGATTTTATGGCAGATTTAAATGCCAAATATTCCGGCACGTCCGAAAGGCTGCCAGGTTTCTGCTTCAGATAGTGAAAGGTAATATTTATTATAGAACGATGTGCTGGGAGAAACATTTGTCCTCGAGTCAGCCAAATCAAATCTCACGAATGAAGGTGCAGTACCAAGGTACGAGCGGTGTTGTTCCGTCTCTAAGCTGACGCGTCACACTCCTAACCCCTAACCTTGACAATCACGGCTGGTTGATGGGAGGTCGCCCTCCAGGTGGAAAGGTGGCTAGGTTGGTACCTGGAATATGCGGGCTGCAGCTCAACCCCGTCTGTGCCCCTGAGGCTCTTTTCTTCATTCGCATCATGTGCCACAAGAACGTTATGAGGTTCGTGTTTCGACATCAACCACCTACCTTTCATTTCGCTTTTTTAGTCGTAAGCACTACTGACCCTCGAACGAACCACACAATCGCGAGCAATAAATTCCTCTCCTCCAGTAGGTACGGGAAACCGCAGCCCTGCTGTCAGAGGTTTCACAACTTCGAGGACGCGTTCGGTTGTCACGAGAGAAAGCCACCCCTCGGGGAGAAGGTTGTAGCTCCGCCCTAGCTAGGTGAGCCCCACAACTCTGGGGTGATCGGACCGGGAACACCGGCCCGCAGGAATCGTTCGCACGAAACAAGGCACATCAACCGTAACAAGAAAGTAACACTCAACCGACTGCCGGAAGTAAACACGCGTACGAAACCGCCTGAAATGAACTTTAGCTTTCCTATCGAAACGTTTATGTGAAGAAAACAACAACAAACCCTCGCTGAGAAAAATTTACAACGGACATACAGGTGGCTTTCTCTGACGCTGTGAATTCATTGCTAATCTATCTTAGACTCTTTTCCTAGATAGAGATAGATTCGTTGGGTCAATATTCATTTAGAGCAATAAAAATAAAAAACATGGTAAGAGTATGGTGTTTATTTTTTCTTAACATATATACTCACAGGATTGCGGTCGTATCGTCATACATTTCGAACTAATAGTAGTATGGGAAAAAATATATATATGGTCGCTCGATTTTTTTTTTGTACACATGAACTACGCCTGGGTAAGACCGAAAACTACATATACAGTTAGCGCCCGCAATTAAGAAACGCTTATTTCAGGTCCAGCCTCGAATTCTTATTGTGCGCTATAAACTCAGCGTATGTCGTTCAGTTTCTTATATCATGTTTCTTATTTTTTCGTGCAGCCAAATCCTGCTGAATTTATTAAATCGGCAATTTCTTTTTTCTCTGCTTTCCTCGCCTCCCGTACTCAACCCCGATTCTTACTACCGACGGCTGAACGTAAGGCCACTCCCTAGAAGCGAAATGTATTCAACGGCAACGTCTTGCTATCGCTACAAGGTCTTGTACCCCCCTCATGAGTGAGGGCTGAAACTAAACAAATGCATAAACACCGCATGATGCCTCACCCGCACGCTGACATGCCAACAACGAAAATCAGAGCTTTAGCGCCAGCAGTGCAGAGCGCAGAGAGAGCCCGCAGGGGGCCGCAGGGGGCGCCGCAAAAAAATACCCCCCCCCCTCGGCGTGCAACTAATAATAATGCACTATGGGAGGCGGGGGGTAGGGGGAGAGGGGGAAAGAGCGAGAGAGCTGTGGGGTTTGCTTCTTATTCGACACACTCCCCCGTAACCCCTCGTTTCTTATGTAGTAGGGCAGCGGTCGCTGCTGTGTTTCTTTTTGAGACATTTTATTGTGTGACCCAGATTGAGCCCTATTTTCTTATTTTTCGTGAAAAAGTGAGCCTCAATTTCTTCACAAAATATTTCTTAAGTGCAGGCGCTAACTATAGGGGTAAGGTTAGGTCCAATGTTTCCAAGCCCTGAACACGGCACCTAGAGGTTGATAGACTTGTGATGATCTTGTGCTGAACCGCCCGTCGCGATTGACCGGATCCGGTGCAATGTGGAAAAACCTATGTACTCTTTTTCTCTTTGCTCCATTCATCTCCTAAGCCCAACACACGTACTGTATCGAGGACACATATTTCCTGTCATATGAGGCGATGGTTGGCACTGATTGGAGGTGGTGGAAAATCAAGTGTTATCAATGTTTTTCATTATTAGTGTTGATCACAGCAGTTGGTCTCTTGGAAGGGCCGAGAGGGCCGAAAAAAGGTTGTCGCTTGCTCTCCATTTTTGGGAGCACACTTCACGCAAGTCGCTTGTGGGGCACACATCGTGTGCTACCAGGGACCACTGTCCACGCATACTTTGAGCGGGTTAGGTGCTCTCTTGATGTGCCCCGCACCAGTTTCGTGTGAACATAGCTCTGGCATTTTTTTTTTTTTTGTCTTCACTTCAAATCAGCGCTCACAGCACTAGTGCCGTTCACTCCAACCCGTGGTCACACAGAAGAGCCCCTCTCTACCCTCACGTCCTGCGGTGCTTTGCCTTCGATTTTCAATGCGAGAAGAGTTCAGCACTCTCTTCCCTCTGTGTACACACGAACTAGCGCTATCCACTAGGTAGGCCAGAAGCGGAAGCGAGAGAAAAACTCAGTTTGCAAGAAAAGCTCGCTTACGCCGGATTCGAACCCCTGACCTGACCTCTAGAAGGTTTCGAGGATACCAACTAGACCACCGGGGGCGACCGGGCATAGGGTACCCTGACAATAACAGGGTTTCCCCCGCGGGGGCCCTATGTGATATATAGGAATTAAACTACCGATCCCCCCCCCGCCGAAATGTCCCAAATAAGAAGTTGGTTGGGTCATTGTTGTTGTAGAACAAGAAAAACGTGTACTTGTTTAGGGTTGAAAACACAGCGAGGTGATGGTGGTTCTAGTCCACGCATTTCACTTCGCTAAAACCGTTGTCCCTATTCTCCCCCACGAGTAAGTCTTCAAGTGTTTTGTGCAATTGCAGCTAACTGTGTTTGCCTCATCGTAGTACTTGTTTGGTGTTCTTCAGCAAGGTCACGTACTGCACTGACTCGACACTCCGCTCTGCATCATGGTCCGATGCAGGCGAACCAAAGAGTGTACAGCGAGACGCTCGTTCGTAGATATTATCCATCCCCGCGGGTACACCACCACAGGCCGGCATGCGTTCAGAGCCGACCACCCCCCCGGCTCTTGCCATGTGGTTCACGCACACGTTGGTTGTAAGGCGACCACGCAGTGTCTCTACTGGGGATAAGAACTTACACTTCATCAGCCACAACCACGTGCCGCTGTTTCTGGCGGGGGTACATTGTAAAAAACACGTCGTCCTTACGCTAACAAAAACGTCCCTTCTACGACGTTGGGACGAGTAGTCCGAACGCAGTCGATGAGTCAACAACCACGCGCTTCTTCTCCAGCTTTCCCGAAAGAGCAACTCATACCACGAACTAGTGCTCTACGGCGGGAGAGCCGCAACCCGTTTACACAGTCTTCGTGGGCCAATAACCGCGCGCGCCGCCTCTGCCTACTGGGAACAGCAACTTCGTGCAGCGACGGAGGCTAGGTCCAGCAGCTGGAGTTCCTCGTTGCAGCCGTCGATCAGGCAGCGGTCGGCTTCCGCGATGCGCCTGCAGATGTCGGCCTTCTTGTGGTCGGGAATGGTCGTGTCCGCCACCGTCGCCTCCTACAGCAGTAGTACACGGAGGAACACACAACAAAGTTTGCCGCAATGAACAACGAAGTTTGCCACACACACAAATATGTTGAGCCGCATTTCAGATAGACGGTAGAGACAAAGACAGGCAGGCAGACAGACAGACAGACAGACAGACAGACACACACACATAAACACACACACAAAGAACCGGAGGGTGAGTTGCGAGGTCATGGCTTCGCGGTAGCACTGGAAATGACCACGGACCCGGGGATGCCGCAGCCGTACACAGACACCAGCATACATGAACTCATCAAACGCTTCTCTCTCTCTCTCTCTCTCTCTCTCTCTCTCTCTCTCTCCCTCTCTCTCTCTCTCTCTCTCTTTCTCTCTCCCTCTCCCTCGCGTTCTCCGTTGCGTTGTGTATTTCCGTTTTTCACTCCCCCTCCCATTCCCAGTACATTTCCCAGCACCGGTCTCGATCTCACGGTATGACTGACCCACCTGCATGTCCTCCAGTAGCGTGCTGAGAGGGTAGCCGGAGCTCATGAAGTCGTCGACCGCCGCCTAATCATCAGGGAGGGGGGCAATCGAGGCGGAGAGGGTCGCCAAGTGAGAATAATCTTGGATGCCAACATCGGCAGGGCAGGGAGGAATGAACGATGGCAGCCGGCGGGCAAAGACGACTTGGTTCAGATCTTTCCCGAAATGAAACCGGGGTGCGGATGAAAACCAAAAATGTTCCTGACGATAAGGGCCTCAACGAAGAGAGTAGGTCGGTGAACGCCGACGAAAGTTATTTGCGGTGACCCTAAAGATCCGAACCTGTTCCAAATCATGAGGCTTCCGTTGCTTCCACGCCAACAACTCGTAACGCGCGTTTAAGGCAATAATTCGCAAAGACGCATGGAGGGGGGTACTATAATAGTTCATTCCAGAACCCCGCACATTCGTGCCGCCACGTGTACGACATCGCAGACCCAGATGCGTGCAGTGCGCTCCCGCATCCTGTCGACCGTCTCATGCACACACATCGCCGTCTCATGCATACACACGGCTTGTCACCGCTTGTTCTCGCTTACCACAATCTTGTTGTACGAGCCGGACTTGATGGCCGACCAGAGCGCCTCCTTCACCTCGGCGGGAATCTTGCCCGCGATGTCTACCAGGACTTCAGGCGTCACCTGCAGCGAGGGTGGAGGGGTGGCCATTTACGTTCCTCACGTTGGCGAGAACAGGGGTCATCTTAGTTCACCAGGCTGCTTCGACACGGAGGACGAAGCACTGTCCCTACTCCCAACTGAGACAAGGCCAATGAATCCGGGGCGCGCTTTGCGCACCTGGTACTTTGGAGGAAGGGAAACAGCTGCACGCCGTTGACCAGTTCCGTTGCGGAGACCATGGTCCTCATGTATCCTCCTGAGATGCGTGTGTTGTAGTTATCATTCCCTGGCTACCTCCGTCGCACTGCCACATCCGTCGGTTGCATTCTCGGAGGCTGATCACACCCAAGATAACCGAAAGAGACCCGTGCATCACAAATACTACGACCACAACAACTATGTCAACATGAGCAACAACAACAACAACAAAAACAACACCACCACACCACCACACCACCACACCACCACACCACCACCATCCATACCAACAACACTACCAAGGCCAGCAACACCAACCTCTGCTCCGGCGTAAAACTGCGACGCCGACTGCATAGCCGTGACTGCCTTCCTCATGTCCCCCCCCGAGAGGTCAACGATGGCTTGCAGGCCGTCCGCCGCAATCTTAACCTGCAGCAGGGGAAAAAATAAGCGAAAATACGCTGACGTCCATCAGCGAAGGGTAACGCTGTCGCCCCGGGCGTTGCGACGTGTGCACGTAGAGAAAAAAAAAATCATGCCGCAGATGTTTCACGGGAATGGTGGTGGTGAAAATCAAGAAAAGCTGTGGCATGGAATGTTCATCGACGAGCACGTCAAGAAGGATTTTGGAGGGGGGTGTAGCAGAAGAACAGGAGAAGCGCCGCGCCAACATAAATTTTCGGCCAACGAAAATGTGCAAATGGGAAGGATAGCAGGGCGTCAGCAGAAGGATAGGAGAGGCGCCTTGCCAATGTACTTGACGCCAATGAAGAAGTGCAAAATGGACAGACTGCAGGTTTCGAACGAAATACTTGCGGCGGAGACTGAACGGGAGCGACTGGCCCGCCGCGTTGCAAGAACAAAACAGTCATCGTCGAGGAGAACAAAAAATCGGCATCGATACCCCACAACTCTCGACCTCTTCTGCTGCTGTTGTTGCTGTCTTGGCACCGAGGAGCGTTCTGACCTCTACCGCCCTCAAACGCTCGTTTTCCGTACGAACCTCCCTGTCGGGAATGCACTTTTTTCCGGTGGTCAAATTGTAGGCTTCCCCCATGCAAGGTACATGTTGGACACAAAAGAGTGAAAACCTCACAAAGAGTCGATTCACCACCCGCGCGCTTGGCAATAAGGACGCAACGTCAGCCCTCATCGAGTACGCCGTCGTGTACCGTTGGGTCAGCAGCCACCATCGAAGCTCTTTCGTCCCAGCAGACTCTTGCTCCGTGCGTGGCGGCTTCATCGACCCTATCACCCCGACTAACGATCAACACCCGTACTGTTCGTAGAGTTGGAGCTGGGGTAACATCAAAGGGACAGATTCACAAATAATATATCCCCTTCGACTCCTACCGTGGCTATGTCAACCACGGGTAGTCTTTTCCGTGTTTGAATGTAGGATTTTCTAAAACATGTAGCACTCACGTCCTCCTCCCGTGATATGTAGCTGAGCCGATCCAACATCGCCCCCTGGCCTAGCGCGCTGAACCGGAACTTTGCGCACCTGGACGCCAAGGGCTCGATTATTCGGGTCACGTAGTTGCAGATCAGGCAGAACCGCGTCACCTGCGGGACAGAAGGGGGCCCGGTACGACGGCGGGCGGGCGGGGGGGGGGTATCGTTGGTATGCGCGTCTCTCTCTCTCTCTCTTCCGTTCATCTGCCGCAAAAAAAGACAATGTCTTGGATTTCAATCTCTCTCGCTACCCCCCATCCCAACTTTCTCTGTCTCTGTCTCTGTCTCTGTCTCTCTCTCTCTCCCTGTGTATCTATTGTACAGCGGCAGTATCTGGATCTCAACCTCTCCCCCCCAATCGCTTTCTAGGGATGCGAGGACAATGGTCTAACGACGAAGCCGTGTGTCTACATGAGGACACCGCCCCACCCGCTTTCTCACCGTGGAGTAGGTTTCCATCGTACGCCGTAGCGCCGACTGCGCGTCCGGCGTCATCGTGTCCGCCTCGTCCAGGATGATCACCTTGAACGGTGGGCAAGGGTACCCCGCCTGGTGCGTCGCTCTCCCGACCGCAACCTTCAATCGAAACACAAACGCACAGAACGACGGGCGTAAATCACATCATCTGAATCCAACGCGGCTCAGCACGTTGCACCGTCAAGGTCACGACACAGACGACATCCGCACACCGGACAGACGCACCGGTAAGTTGAATATTTTTCTTTGGTAACACGTTAGGTTATTGCGCGGCGGCGAAGCGCAGCAAGGCGTAGCACGGCCAAGAAAGTGCCACCACCGCCAATCGCCCGCCCCAAGGAGTCATAACGGGCCACCACCGCCCCCATCCGCCACACATTCATTTTGTGTCGCTGCCCTTCACACAGTTCAGACCACAGATTGCAGAACGAAAGTGACAGGGGGTCGCGCCTTGTACCGGCGCGCACTACATGTACTGAGTTTAGGTGGCCTGGACTGGATGGCTTCAAGGACTTTCGCCACGAGTTTGAACCCCTGTGCCCACACACCATCGTGCGCCAACTACTGTAGGGGTGCTACCCGAGGGTGTTATCTGTCTTTCTCTCACTGCACGCCTCTGCCTCTCTCTCTCCTGTGTGTTCGTCTGCCTGTCTGTCTGTCTGTCTGTCTTCCGTCGCATTCTCTCTCTCTCTCTCTCTCTCTCTCTCTCTCTCTCTCTCGCGTTGTATCTATACTTCTCAGCCACTCTCTTTAACTAGCTTTCTGTCCCCTTCTCTCCGTCTCTCTATCGCCCTGTCTCTCGCAAAAAAGCGCCTACCTGTGCGAAAGTCTTGATCTTTTCGCGGACGACCTTGATCCCTCGCTCGTCCGACGCATTGAGTTCCAGGATTCGGTCCCTGTCAAGTGTCGCAACGAGGCCAAAATAAACCCAAAGTACGATGGGGGCCGAAACGCACGCGTACGTAGGCCCGAAGATTAATCCCACTCCTGAGCTATCATGTCGCTGTCATATCTCCTCCCGACAACACCCGTGCAAGAAAAAACGAAAGCAGAGCCAGGGCAACGTTTTGACAACCACTACAACTAGAGCGAGCCAGCGCGCGAGGGACAGATAATCTGGGGTGCCCGGCGATCGGAATGCTTCAAAACACACACATGATAATGCAGCATCCCCCCGCGGTACAGTAGCTCCCCGGCGACTTCCAGTGCGACTGCCCCGCCCCACCGGGCGATAAACGAGCGTTCCCTCTCTCTCTCTCTGGTGACGAGTAAGCGAGAGAGAGAGAGAGAGAGAGGTTGCGCCTTTCCCCCGCCTTTCAAAAAGGCCCCGCTTCGCTCGACCCGCCTCACCTGTACGTGTCGGGCCCAAACAGCGTCCGCGCCAGCGCCAGTGCCGTCGACGTTTTCCCCGTGCCGGGCGGCCCGTAGAACAGCAGGTGGGGGAGCACCCCCGTGGCGATCGCGCCTTTCAAGGTGTTCGTCACCTGGTGGTTGTTGTTGTTGGTGGTGGCGATGTTGTTGATGATTGTTGATGATCTTTGTCAATGTTGTAGTGAATGCTGAATACTCTCACGGCAGCTTTGTCGCGACACCTCAGAGCACTGCACGGTCACAAAAATACCGCAGTCCGCGGTACACCCGAAACATCAAGACCAAGAGAACAAAACAAAAAAACTGGGAAGAGGAGGTAGGCATGCCTACACAAGGCAGAAAAAAAAAAAAAAAAAAAAACACAATATGCCGGAGCAGAGGGCGAAGATCATTTCTTGCGCGGTCGAAGCCTGCGTTTGCCCCGCCGGAAAACCTACCCAAAAAGGTAGTGAAGAAAAACGACGAACAATTGCCTGGCGATGAAGCCCTTACCCCGTACGAGGAATAATTTTCCCGGTGTGTAAAACCAAACCTTGCCGTAGCAAGAGCCCCGGACGCACAAATGAGGTCCCCTATTTCGATCGGGCACCCGGACATCAGGATGCTGATTCCTGGTCGTTGGTTTTGCTCACATAAAACATCCGAGGTACACATGGATAGAGACTTTCTCCTTGGCTTTAGTTCTGGACGCCCAGATGGGGACACACAGCACTCAAAAGTCTATTTACCGCACCGCAGTCGTCACCAGGCTCCGCTGTGTGAAACGCATGCGGAAAACCTTGGGCTACCATGCTTGTTCTGGGTAATGCCCCTCCTCGGCCCCTGACTTGCTGTGCACATAACATATCTCTCCCAAGCCGCGTGTCCCCTTGTTAGCAAAAGCCTGTGTAGCCTAGAACTGATATCGCTGACCAGGTTCAGTACGGAATGTGTCACCACGCACTTGGGGACAATTTTCTGTCCAAAAGCAAGTCACCCTTCGTCCTTTGGGACTGCTGTACAGCCTCTCCCAACGAGCGGGTGCGATTTTTTTCTGGGCCTATAACCTGTAACAAACTGGAATGTTAGAGGGTTACCCCTCACAAGGATGCCTGCCTCATGGCGTGGAAGGGAGAGACGCTGCTGTCTCGCACAACGCCCCGTCAAAATCATCCCCTTTGCTACTGTGGGTATGTAGCACTTGAGGGGCCTCCATAACGTCGGTATGTGCCCGGCGAATCGACAGACGCTTTTCAGAGGGGCCGGCGCTATTCAAAGTACAGATTGACTGAGTGATTCAGTCTGCGCCCAGCAATTTGATCGGCGCTATGCAGGGCCATCGGCGTTATTCAACCGCCGTTGTTGAGGGCCCACTGCTGCTTCACTCTAATCTGCGACTGTCTTCTGTGTTTGTATGTACATTATCTACTATAAAAAATGTCGAAACTATTCAGCCGCAGAGGACAAGACTGAAAATTCGACACGCAACAGCCGTCGGCATTCTTTCGCCAAGTTTTTGCATGACATGCGCAGCACTGGAAGGTACCTTCATCCATTGTCGCAGGTCACCGCCGTTGAGAAATTGGCCATGGGCCACTTCTTCGTCGCAAACTACTGCTCCCGATATTGACTTGCCAAAGGGTATGTTGTGCACCGAATTATGCACTGCTGTGTAAGCACGTCGATGGGAATGCCAGTATGTACGCGGAAAAAACAACCAAAGTCAGTCGCCCATCGCAGCCAAACACCTAATGCTAATGTTTGCGTCACAAGCGTTTTAACCCTCCCAGCTGTACTGGAAGCCCAAATGGAGACGCTTTGGGGACACAGCACTCAAATGCCTGTTTACCGCACCGTGGTCGTCACCATCTAGTATACTCCGCTGCGTGAAACGTGCGTGGGAAACCTTGGTCTGCTGTGGCATGTGTGAGGTGGTATGCATACATGCATACAGCGCTCTGTGATGTACTGCTGTGGTTGTGTGATGCCCGCGTGCCTCTCCTGGGCCTCTGACTAGCTGCACGAATCTCCCAAGCCGCGTGTCCCCTTGTTGGTAAAACTGCGTACATATAGCCTAGTTCCGGAAAAATATGCTGACTTGACTTCAGTACCGGAAGTGTCCCCAGTGCATTTTGGGGACACTTTCCATATACTGAAGGCAATGTAGCCCTTCAGCCCTGGGGGACTGCTCAGCCTCTCCCAATGAGCGCACACGATTTTTTCTGAACCCACAGCCTATAACTTACCTACAAGTATGGTAGGAGGGTTAAGATGGGTACCTTTGACAGCCGTCTCGCAGTGGGAGGCAGGAGTAGAAAGATAAAGATATCGGGTCCGTCGTATGCCACCGTATCTACGGGAGTGTACAACAAAGCTCCCGTCTTTCCTTTTCAAAAACAGGAAGGAACGAAAGGGCCGCGCTTTCTTGATTTTTTTGAAAATTTGAAACACACTGCAGCACTGCAGCAGTAGGGTATAGATGTGTTCTTGGTTGTGTGTATGTAGTTCGGGGAGGGGGGGGGCTGAGGCAAATCCCTTTATGCGGGCAAAACGATGATACCCAAGCTGTTGGCGCTTGCTGTTTCCCGCATCGATCCATGTAAAACCTGGAAATCTCCATTTGGTACACTGCAACCCCTGGAAGGTGTGTTCGCGCGCTCTCTGCTCTGCGCTGCTATTTATGGGAACAATTTCAAAAACAACTTGCTATGTCGTCGCAAACCTCGATATACCCTGCTTCCTTCCCTAACGCCCGTCCCCGCCTATGAGGTGGCGTGGACGACCTCACCTCGTCTTGGTGTGCCACGTCATCCACCGTCTTGGGTCTGTACTTTTCCACCCACGGCTGCAGCCTGGCCGGCGGCGCTTGCTGCGCGGCAGGCTTGGTATCAGCAGCCCCCCCCATCACCACATCATCCACGTCCACCATAATCCCTCTCCTTTTCGAAGCTCTTAGCCTCCGACTGAACAGGTAGAAGGAACGCACGATACTCTTTCACTCCTCGATGGGCCGTGGCGGGCTTGTGCAGGAAGGCACTCGTCACTGCACAGAGATTGGGCCAACCCTGGTTGAGCCTACCTCCTGCCTACCGCAGGCAAGCGGCAACGGGGGCTCCGCGGAGAGATCTACTCTTTAGCAAATCCGGGTGCACTTGCCTTTCATTTTTTTTTTTTCGTGATTTAGGTCCGGCACGTTACGGTTTGGCTCTCCTCCTGCCCGATCATACTCCGACAAAGAGAGGGGCTCGGCGGCCTAGTCTATGCATGATGTCTCCGCCATGGTACTCCTTGTTACCTTTCCTATTGTCAACTGCTGTATGTCAAGGGAAGAAACAACGGAAACTTCTCGGCCTCACACCGAGGAGACACGCTCTCCCACCACATGCAAGACGCACACGCACCTTGCACACTACATGCACAAAGATCTATTCCCGTCACCTTGCGTCACCATATATTTTCCTTCGGTACCGCGGTGAAGCAGCTGGATACCGAGAGGCCAACGTGCGAACATGGTTGGATTGGAGATGCACGCATTCACAGCCCCAACCGACGTTGCCACCCATGCACCGACCTTCCACCCGTGGATGGTAGCAACCAGCAACCGTGAAGGAGAAGCAGCAGGTAGGTGTGAAACGACGTGGCGAGACGAATACTGCTGTTGGTTGTGGTTCCAAGGCGGTGTCGTGTGGAATCAGTCACCGGGAGAGCGTACAGCTTCAACTCCATTCCATGAGTTATAGTTTACCCGAGAGGGACGAGAACTCATACTGAGAGAGAAACAGCCACACTACTGCTGCTGATTGGTACTGGATACCTATGAGGTAAAGGCTGCCGTGCCTGCAACAGCAAACTAACGTAGTCTACGCCGAAAGAACGACCTCGCACCACAATCAATGCATACCACAGCCCTGCTTCCACCTCTCTGTCGTGTTCGTGTGGTGTGCCCGTTGCCTGGACTACTGCTGTGGGGTTCACGTATGTATGTATGTATGACGGTTACGTCGTTCATCCAATGCTTTTTGCCATGCACATGGACAAGTACGGTCTAAGGTATCCCGCCGGAAAGAAATCAGCGACCAGTTTCCACGTTTCCACCACGGGATCTTGGCGCCGCCCATCCATTCATTGCACACATATCCAAGAGGGTGCTGCCACAAAGGCCCTCGACCATCTTATATCGGATCCCCGTCTTCTTGAACCAGAATAGGAGAGTGTTACAGGGTCGAATTAGTGCCAACCGATTTCGACCCTCTTATATCGGAGCGCCTCTTATAAGGGACCCTCTTGTATCGGCCTAGACTTCACTTTCTATTGAATGTTGTCACGGAAAAAAGTCTCGTTGAAATTTCGAAAGACTCCTTCTTGTTCTATGGTGCGCCTCTACTGTGTATCTCTCACTTAGTTGATCCACCGCCCAAAACGGTTGGTCTCGGTCTCGACTCTCGATTGTAGCATCTCACTACTTGCTGTATGCAATAGCCTAGCTAGGTTGACGTTTGGTAAGTACTCGTTATCGTTTATTTCGCCAACAAAAGATTTCCAACTTTGTTTTTGACCGTTCCCTCTACACGCGCCTCCTTTTTTTCTCACTATATTGCGCCTTTTTCTTCACCGCGTCCCGCTCTGAGAAACGTTTAGTCTAACCCCATAATATGGCATGGTTGTGCGCGCGCAGAGTTCGTGTGCATGTTGCCGCTGGCTTACAACCATCGAGACCTTTTTTTGTTTTTTGTCTTCACTTCAAATCAGCGCTCACAGCTGTTTCCTCCATTCAACCCGTGGTCACACAGAAGAGCCCCTCTCTACCCTCCCCTGCTGCGGTACTTTGCCTTCGATTTTTAATGCGAAAATAGTTCAGCACTCTCTCCCCTCTGTGTACACACGAACTAGCGCTATCCACTAGGCCAGAAGCGGAAGCGAGAGAAAAACTCACTTTGCAAGAAAAGCTCGCTGACGCCGGGATTCGAACCCATGACCTGACCTTCCTCTAGAAGGTTTCGAGGATACCAACTAGACCGCCGCGACCGAACAAGGTAGCAACTTATTCAACTGTTCCAATAACACTTGCTGTGCTGTTGAAAATCGTCATGGTTCTGCTCCGTGGCAATTTTGTTTTTGCATATTTTGCGAAGGGACGCAGAATGAAGGCCATCAAGACGTTTCGCAAAATGTCCAGGTCGCAGAGGGAAGCGCAGTTCTTTAAGAGCAGCCTGGAAGTAACACAAGAAGAAGGACTAGTGGTCACCTGCGAACCAAACGATGGTGGCCAGGTACTGGAGGGACAGGTTACGCTAGAAGAAGAGCCTGAGGAACAACAAACAAATCGGCGATCACCCCTTCGATCTATAGAGGAGCTGGACGTGTCTGACGGGGAAAAAGGAGAACAAGAAGAGATGGGCCCTATCACCGAGGAACATGACGTACCACCGAGAGAACCTTCGCGGGTACCGTCACCTCAACGAAAGGAGGAGGAAGGGCCCGACGGACAACAAACGAATCGGCAGTCACCTCGTCAAGCTCCAGGGGAGCTAGACGAAACAGAAGGAGACGGTCCAGAAAAAGGAGACGTGGCTGCCATCGAAAAGGAACATGATCTACCACCACCGAGCGATGCGTCGCGGGCACCGCCGCCGGAAGGAAAGGAGGAAACTACTGAGGCCGACGCAGGTTTGTCACGAGGTAGGTGTGGTCTTCTGTGATCGGTTGGTAAAGTTGGCGTGGAGCATACGGTTAGTGTGTTGTTGACCAGGACCAACGCTGCTGTTGGTACTTGCACCACTTCAACGCTTTTTCGGCTCTTTTGCTGTTTCCGGATATGATGGGACCCCACCGTGACAGTCAACAAGACGCGACAACATTTGTGATCGCTCAAAGATGAAACTTAATTTCTTGCAGTAGAGTAGTCACCCAGCGAGTACAGCTCGCCTACGTGTGTGTGTGTTTCGCGCTTCGATTCAACACATCAAGGACCTCACGTATGCATACCTATGCAGTTTTTTTACCCACCCTCCACCCACCGACCTCTCAAACCGCCAACTAACTCGGTCGCCCCGGTGTCATAGCCTTGAAACATCAAATACAAGCCTTTCGAATACGGATATTCTGGTTACACCCCCGGTCCCCGGGACAGTTCAAAAGATACTTCGAAGTTGGGATAAAAGCGTTGAGAGAGACGAAACTTCATTCCTTGGCAATAATCGTATTGGTTCACGAGGAGCTCGTCTTGCGTACGTACGTGTATGATACCAGGCATGTGTTTTTTGCCCCTCTGTTCAACACGTCGATTTTCACTCTGTAGAATACTACTTGTATCCAGGTTCTTGGCCCCGCCCACCCAACACTATATTCCGCAACTAACTCGGTCGCCCTGGCGTGCACAAATAACAATAAAGAGTCGCATGGTCCCTATATTCCACCGACGAACCCAACCGTTGATCATGCCATCATTTCTTCATCAATGCCGTGGGACTATGATTTCCATGTCGTCCCATCCGCGTCTCACACATGGCATTACGGTGTTTGCGAAGTTGAGATTTCAGTTTCATCTTGGTCTTTTTGATCCCCCCGAGCGCCGAAGACCAATGGATCTTTAGGAATTCAATCTTTTGCTTTATGGAATTGCCCCCAAAGACCGCAGGAAAGCTTGAATTCAGTCTTGCTCATTTTGGTCTTTGAAGGAACAATTTTTGATTGGCCTACACACCCCGAGATACTCCCGACGTCCTCCCGACACCGCCGCACCATCCCGTGGAGCTGCCCAAACACACACACCTTGGCCGCCGTAGACGACACCATGCATGGCGAACCAACTACAAACAGCAGCAGTGCCGCCAGACCACAGACGGTCAAACAAACGTCGCTGCACCGCACACCCGGTGCGCATTGCATGCTGCCGACATGGTGCAACTTTTGCTTCATCTTAAATGTTTATGCGTGGACAGAAGCATGCCGCTCTACATGCATGCTCATAATAAGTGACACATCAAACCGCGGCGTGAGGAGGGTGAGGCGGTGAGGCGGGCGGCATAGATCTCAGGAGTGCGGCACAGGTGGTGGAGGCGGAGGTGATGGAGATGGGGATGCTTCAAGCGGCGTGGGGGCGTGAGGAGCTGCAGCGCGTGCGTCCTGTGGACCGTGCTGTGGTGATTTGTTTGACAGGAAACTATCGACTCCGTCGACGACTGACTGCGATATGTATCACAACTTGTTCGCGTGCTGAAGGGGTCCGTACACACATACATGCATGCCTCCGCTTTTTGCGGCGCTACGCTTCCCATGCACTCCCGGTAACTGAACTGGGCCAACCGCCTGTTCATGAATTAGTACGTTGCTCCATCAGTATTCTCCATGACTGGGGGTGGGTGAGGGTGCAGTGATAGTGGAGTAGTAGTAGCCTTGTTGGGGTGAAAGCGGAAGCTCGGAAATATGTTTGGTGTTCCGAGTCGGCTCAACCATCTGTCTGCCGCCGCCGGCAAAGGGGCTCCGTCGTATTGAACGCAACGTTCTAGGAAATTTCCGCATGTTCAAGACTGAAATATTGCGCTCCGGTCTTCGCAAGCTATTTTTGAAACCAAAATTCAATCTTGGGCCGGAATTCCTTCAAACTTCCAAGACTGAAATGGGAGACCATTTCGCAAACACCCTATTGACAGAAAAAATATTGCCAACGCAGACAGACATGACCTGCACACAGGTGACTATGATGCACAGATAGCACCCGGCAGTCGGATGTTCTTAGAGTCGGTCTTGACGAAGAAATCAGATCTTGAAATCACATTCAGATTTGGTTATAAGAGCGGGAGGGAGATCCACATAACTCTTTCGTTGATTGGCTGAAGTGTTATGGAACCCGTCGAATCTTTAGGACTTAAAACAGGACGACCCAAAACCAAATCGGGATTTGAAAAAAGGTGAAATCATTTTTAGTCGGATCCCGATTTGGATGAACAGCGTCCATAGTTGCGGGACCACGGTCTACTTGCATGCACGGCGCATGCCCACCTACCCCCACCCACACGAACTCCATCCACCGCCGAGCACAAACGAAAGAGAGAGCACAAAAAGCCAACCCAAAGGGAGGGTGACTGCGCATCGTTGTTGCACGTGACTGGTGCCGAAAAAAACGTGTGTGGGCTGTGTTGGTCTGTGGGGCAATCTCCCGTGGGTTGTCGAACTTCAAATGCGCAGACGAATTGGCGGCTTTCCGTCGGACGAGGCTCGATTCAAACTCTCACATGCATATAGACATCGTGTCAGTACGCACCGCACAGAGGCCATGTACGCGTTTGTGTGTGCTTGTCGGGAGCGATAGCTCCCCATGTGGTGTGGCCACGTCATAACAGTACGTCACAACAGCAATCTGGCAGTTGGCAAGCGGCGGACCTCTCGGGTTGTTCGCGGTGGACTGCAGAGATTCGTTTCCATTTGGCAGATCTCCCGTTATGACACACAGGCCATTTCTGTCCGGATTTGGGTGGATCCGACTCTTTTTTTCTTATATCGAAATGTGATTTCGAGATCTGATTTCTTCGTTAAGACCGACCCTTAAGTCACTACAACTTGAACACTGAGCAAGCACTAAGCTCCATTTGTGAGCCCAACACCATTTGCAAGCCCGGCACGATTTGTGAGTCAGGCTACTGTTCAGCGGCAGTTTGTACCATAACCTTCACGAACTGCAAGAATCCCAGCCTAGGCCAAAACTAGAGGTTTTTGGTGTCGGCGTTTTCTGGTGTACCACGTGCAAGTGGGCTGTATGGATAGATGGAGTTGTGTTTCCGGCCGCCACCGAGTCTTAGGCGTGAGGACACCCAAGCTCCCCATTGGGTCCAGTCTCCGAACAGGTGTCCCCGAGTCCTCTGTGTGAAGGCCTCCATCAACCCTTCCCAAGATCTGGTTCGGATACTCCGTTTATTAATCATCGTGGGTGCCCTTTGTTCTTTGTCAATTTTCTATGCGCATGGATGGTTGTGTGGGTGAGGAGTTATGTTGTTGTCGTTGTTGTTGTCGTGTTGTTGTTGTTGTCTTCACAATAAGAACCATTCCGGTCCCCGCTCAGTACCTTCAAATGTCCGTACTGGTCCAACTGGCGCGGACGTCTTCCGGGGTCACTAGCCAACTACTCCCCCAAATGGGGTAGTCTACACCTTTCTACAGTCAACCTAAAAATGGACCCCAGAAGTCTCCAAGGCGCGATTGGTATATGTACCCAAGCGAGAAAGAAAATTAATCGGGATACAGACGATCGACCCCGGGTAAAAAAAGATGGAAACCCTAAAAGACAACGAACGAAAAGGAAAGAGAAAAAAGGGAAACGGAAGAAAGAACGATAGGCAGGTCCCTCCAACGCTCCAGTCCACCGGAGCAACGAAATGGGCAACTGCCGTCGGGATACCAACGGATGAATGACTTACGACGACGACAACAACAATACCAACATCACTTTGGGGGCAATGCAAGGGGGGGGGGAGGGTAGCGACACGACGGAAAAAATATAGGGATACGTCCGGCTGGTGTTCCTGTTGTCGCCTCCATCATCAGTCCGGAACACATCTCTATCCGTTCAGCCATCTCCGTCTTGCTCTCTTCGGCTCCAGTCGTGTCTTTGTCTTTTGACATTTCCCCCCCTTTGTCCCTCTACCCCCCTGCTCTGCTCTTCTATGCGGTGTTTGTCTTGTTCCGTTCCTCCGCACATAGTCTGCTTAGCTTCTCTTGCTCCTTGTGCCATATGGCCACGAACTCTTCTGCTCCCTCCATCACCCCTTTGTACCACGGCAACCCTTTCTCCACCTTCGCAGCGATAGGCCAGCAGCCACGCGGTATCTCGAATGTCCTCGGGTCGTCATCCGTGGATTCGGCGTTGGTACCGAACGCTACGAAGTCGTCCTTCAAGCATAACACCCAATTATTTTCCGGGCGTGCGGTGTTTGGGCCCTTCACCCTCACGATATCTCCGAACATCAATCGCTCCGGGGGTCGCCCGTCCGGTTGTCTGGCCAATGCTCCAGCAAACAGTAGTCGCCGTTGTCGGACAATAGCCTCCACGCGTTGGGATCCGACCTTGCGATCGTTTTTTTGAACCGTCATCTTGTTGGCTTCTTGTCGCACACACCGGTGCAGCAACACCGATACCGATGCGGAAATCAAACTAACGCATTTCGTTCTAGATTTCCAACGCACCCCCTGTGCGATGACGCCGACGGGTGCGATACGGAAGAAATTACAGTGTGTGGCCATTCCTCGCGCACACCTCGACGGAGGGATGTACATCTGCATAACCCTAACCCCTATTGATACCTACCGGCACCTAGCAATAACACGAACATTTACGTCCTTGACTAAGCAGGTTTTATTTCGTTCATATCGCACCGGGTGCAGTGCGTTACTATCGATACCGGTGCAGAAATGCAATTTAATCATCATGCCGTTCTTGTTTTTTTGCGCACCTCGGTGCCACAACACCGATGGGTACTAAAAGAACGATGGGTGACATGACACGCACAAATACGATATAGTCTAGATTGGACGAGAAACACACGCCCGTAGACTGAAGCTATTCGGGTCCTCCACCCACATCTATCTTTCTACCCGTATGTCTCACACGCTCATGAACACTCACTCTGGTATGCTGCTGTCATTGAGAAAAGAGAGATACCTGGGTCACCCTGTCCGCCCTCACACAGCCTCCACGAAATGCAGTTACCTTGAATGTTCTCCCACACTGTGCCTAGCAGCTCTAACACCGAAACCACACCCCGGAGACAACATTCTGGCCTCTCAAGGACGTCATCATTAGATATGTTTTCTGTGGGGGGATTGTGGTATCTAGACCTAATACTTGATCGTCGAGTCCATTATGACCAGTAAATATATTCTACCACCGGGTAGGGTATCGGGTGCAGAGTGAGATTTCGCACCGCGCATCCCAATCTATGTCAACCGGTCGCCCCGGTGGTCTAGTTGGTAGCCTCGAAACCTTCTAGAGGTCAGGTCAGGGGTTCGAATCCCGGCGTAAGCGAGCTTTTCTTGCAAAGTGAGTTTTTCTCTCGCTTCCGCTTCTGGCCCAGTGGATAGCGCTAGTTCGTGTGTACACAGTGCTGAACTCTTCTCGCATTAAAAATCGAAGGCAAAGTACCGCAGGAGGGGAGGGTAGAGAGGGGCTCTTCTGTGTGACCACGGGTTGGAGTAAACGGCACTAGTGCTGTGAGCGCTGATTTGAAGTGAAGACAAAAAAAAAAAATCCCAATCTATACGGACTAAGCTATCGTGTGGATGTGTTGGTGCCTTCATTTTGTTGCATCCGCTGGGCTGTACCGGGCTGGGCAATGACAGTACTGATCGTAAATTTCAGTGCGGTTGAAGCTGAAAGCGTTAGTAAAGGCTGTCATCGAACACAGTTGAGCAGGAGTCATGGAAGGCTAGACTGTTTTCCGGACAAAAGGCAGAAACTGTAACAGCCGAGAAGTGCCTGTCTTGATTGTTTGCATTGACCGGTCTGTGCGTGTGTTTATTTCCGTACCGTAACAACAAAACATGGTCAAATCTCTATCCGTAAGTGTTTTGGAAAGAATATGCAATTGCTGGGAATCATGAATGGGCTGCAGAGCATCTCCGTGTGAAGTAACAAGATTCGACCACTACACGACGATTAATTGCAAGAATTAGGCTCAACGTGGTTCTACCCCCCGTCCCACCATAGATCCAAACGCCTATGCGTTCCGCCGGCTCACCTGAAAGTATCGGTTGTTGCCCCGCCTATCTTGTGACCCCGTGTAAACCTGTTGAAATAGATGGCTCGGTAGGTTACGACGGCGTGGTGATTTCTCCCAGCAACAGCATGTCGTCCATGGGGAGCGCCACCACGTTCGGTACCGGCGGACGGACTCCCGTTGGCGATAGGCCAGCCCTCAAGGCCCAGACCTCCTTTTTCACGCAGACCTTTGCGGAGCCACTGGAGGAGACCTCCACGGATGCCGGTGGTCGCGGAGGGCTGATGGCGAAGCATCTGGAGGAGATCGCGTCGGGGAAGGGGGCGGCCGCGGCGTCATCATCGACTGCCGAAGAGAAGAACACGCGCCGCTCGCTTATCGAAACCAAACCTCAAGGAGAAGGAACGGGCGGGGAAAAGTCACCGTTCCTGTCTCCGACGGCCCCGGCCGCCCCCGGTGCGGCCACGGGCGCGGCCTCGCCGTCCGCCGAGCCCGTCGCTTCCGCTCCTTCACCTCCCACGCCGGCCGCGGCGCCAGTGGCAGCGGCGGGGCGAGACGCGCAGGCAGAGCGGCCCATGTACGGCCGCTCTTCTTCTAAGCGTTGGCCGCCCAGGGCCCCAAAATCCGCCCCGTCAGTGCCCGCCGCCGAAGCGTCAGCTCCAGAGCCAACGCAGGTGAGAACGTTACCGGAGGCGCCGAGGGACGCAGTGTTGGACAGAACGGCTGCCATCACAACGGTTTCAACAGCAGCGGCGTCCCCGTCTCAGCCTCGCGGTGAGAGAACGGCCAACCCGGCGGCGGCGGCTCCCCCGGTGGAGCAGGCCGAGCCATCGGCAAAGGTTCAGCCAACAGCAAGCACAGCGGACGAGGAGAAAGAGGAGACGGGAAGGGCGGCTCCACGAGACAGTTTCTTCGCCCCTGTTCCACAAGGTTTGTGCGTGTTTTGTGCTTCTCTCTCTGTGTGTGTGTTCGTATGCAGGTTTCGGGCCGTGCTCTGATGAGGTAGGTGGGGGCACGCTCTTGCCCTCCTAAATATCAAAGCTTTGGTGATGTTGTGGATGCCTCAAGGAATGCATGGTGCTTGCGAAGTGCGGGCTGCCGGACTGTCTTGACGTCCTGAATGCCACGACTACCTGTATGGGCTGTCTGGCTCTCCACATTGCGTCTGTTTTCCTGCTACTGTACGAAAGGGTGCGAACGTTGTGCTGCTGTCCCATCGCTCCTGGACTCCTCCATCCCTATACCCCCCTCGTAACAGTGCTTCTACTCGTCGCGCCCCTGGGCCTATGCCTCCAACGCCTTCTCTCTCTGTCTGTCTGTCTCTCTCTCTGTTTCTCTCTCGCTGTTTGTTTGTCTGGGTGTGTCTCTCTCTCTCTCTCGTTTCGCCCTCGGTTCGGTTTTGCTGAACAAACTTGGACTTATCACGAATACTTGCAGAGGAGAAGAAGGTGACCAGCAAAGAGAACAAGGGGGATTCAGTTCGACACTACACTCTGCCCCCAGGTCAGCTCGTTACGGCAGCAAACTCCCTGAATACACAGCATTGCTCAGGCATTTCTCAAGAGGAGAATCGCATTTTACCGTGAAGGTGCTCCGGGTCGTTTTCTTTTCGTAGGGTTGTCTCCGAAACGCGACCCAAAATTAACGTAAGTTGTTGGCCTCGCCGGGCATTCCCCGGCTTACTTTTCTTGGTGGCTCCAATCTACAGTACAAGTAGCTCTTCGCTCGCATTCGCGGTCTCGTCTTCATCGCCGTTCCGCTAGGATTCGGAGCCACGAAATCCCACTACTGCCCGTGCACGCCTCCATTAGCTAAAGGCGAGATGGGTTCAGCGGTACCTTCTGTCAAACGCACCGCTTCGTGCGCAAGTATTCTTACAGCGCAATGCGCCGACGAGCTTGGACATCCCGGCCTACCCATCTAGATGATGACTTTTGCCAGCTGGACCACCAAGGTGACCGGCCGGGCGTGTCCTCAACACAATATTCTTAATTCGCGTTGCATTCTCTTGTTCTGGCAACGTTGACCGTCGACGTCTTTCGCCGTTGGTGCACGTCGCCGCCTACGCCCCCGCGCCTGTTTGGTCTCATGACCTCCAGAGATCAACTCGGTGCACGCAGCCGTCGAGAGCGGCGCCCCCGCGGCCGTGCCGGCGGTTCTCGTGCACATGGACCACGAGGCGGCCGTGTTTGAGCTGACGGCGAGAAACTGCAGCGGTCTGCGCGACGCCAGCAGCATCGGCACCGGCAACGTCTACGGCAACAGCAGTGGTGACGACGACGCGGAGCTAGAGACCGTCATCATGCTTGCCGCCCTCAGCGGAAACCTGGACATGTTCCACACCGTTCTCGAGGCAATGAAAGAGAAGCTGCCGACAGCAAAACAGGTATAAGTATGTTGTTCAACGCCAACCAAGCGCGTTCTTGCACTGCAGGATTGTTGCAGCGGGCTGCAGCTGGAGTGCGTGTGCTTGTGCGTGTGTACGTGTGTTTGTTTACGCCAGGGTGCGGGAGTCATGCATGGTCTTGCCACGCGTTTGTACGGATGACAATGCGGAGTAGTGGGAGAAAGGCCTTGAAATACGGAATATTTCCACCCAATGTAGTATGGTGTGTCGATATACGTACTTGGTAAGGAAACTTGCTTGGAGATTGCCAAGACGAGTGGCTTCCGTTGGATGCGACTAGAATTTTCAAAACCCAAAATGCGTGCTTCACGTCGGTAGCCAGCCTGTTTGCTGCCGCAACGAATCAACAACAGCACCGAGTACTAACGGTGCTTGTTGCAAGCGAACTTGGCGCGTTCGGCTGCAATCTGCAACTCTCCCCTCCCCCAGCCGCGCCCCCCCTCGGTGTTTGCCATCGGGATTGGGTTTTCGTCGCTTGGCAACGACGTTGTAAAACCAGCCAATTCACTTCGTGAACTCGGCAACCAGGTTACCGTTTTTTTTTACCTTTTTTTTTTGGCGGTACCCATAATGGTGGTCGAGTAGATCATGTTGTGCGGGGTCGAGAACCCTCACTCCGCGCAACGGGGGATGGTCGCACCACGTTGTGTTAAATTGGCCAAGCATCCTCCTGGCAGTTACACAGTGCTTACAACTGTCTCAGGAAGTGAAAGCACCAGAACACAAATATAGTCATCCGCAGCTGTCATCCGTACGCAAGGAAGTAAGCACAAGATGCCGAACACACTTAGCAGGATGCAGCGCACCCTTCATGCGACTCGCCGATATACGTTACGGCGCTTCGCGCTTGGTGATGTGAGAGCCTGGTCCGGTGAGAACCCGGCGTGCTCCGTCCCGGCTTTGTAGAGATGCGAGGTCAATGGTCTAACGACAACGGCATGCACGACTATGAGTACACCCTCCCCCGCCGCTGCTGCTGTGCCCAGTGGCCATTCAAACCGTAACTAACCCCACGCCCGCCGCGGTGCTGCGCACCGATTGCGTCATGGGCGCGCCTGCCCTCCTGACCGCGCGAAACAAAAGGTCGACGACATGATCGGGATGACAGATGAGGGGAGGTCCCTGGTGGTGGCGGCGGCGGAGGGGGGCAGCCTGGAGATCTTCGAGGAAGTCCTGGGCCTCCTGGGAGGGAAGGTGAGACGGATGATTTCACAGGTCTGGTGTCGACGCCGCCGCTTGGCAGTGGTTTTTTCTATCCCCCGCAAGGGTCGGATTAATTCCGTGTATGTTATCCTCGCATTTTTTCCCCGTTTCGCTTGCTCTCCTCCCCTCCCTTAGTGTACCACCTGCCTCTGCTGAAAAAGACCCCTCCTGTGTTGAGCTGTTCTTCTGCCTCTACTGTTGTTTCGAACTCTCCTCCGGTTTAGCAACTCGTGAACCTTGTGCCCGGCTTCTTTTTTTTTTGGCTTTTTGTGGGGGTTTTTCGCTGGTAACCGGGGGGTCCATCCAAAAGGAGGCGGCGGCTGGGAACATGTCAACCCTGGAGGCAGGCTGTCTCATCAAGATGGCCGCGAGGAGCGGAAGCATCGAGGTTTTCAGCACCGTTCGGGACATGCTTGCCGAGGACGGGAAGGTGAATAGATCATTTGCGACTACCGCGCCCGGTGCGCACGTTCATTCTCACGGCTTGGGTTGCAGACACCTTGAAACTGTGGGGCTACTCGTCACGGCAGTGTGATGATTCAGTCCAGGAGTGGATCGGCTTCGATTGGACAAAAAACATTTTGTTGAAAGAACTCCTCTAATGGGTCAGGAATACACAAGTAAATTTAGGCGTAGCAGGAAAGTTGGACAACAAGTATCGGTGCAATGAAACGTTGCGCAAGACGCATTCGGACACGGACGGGTTAAGCTCTCCGCAACTGATTCTAGATGCCGGCCCGCGTCCTGCGTCCTCACACCCTTCCCTGTCTCTGCGCGGCACCGATCCCATCGCACGAGGAGTCAGCAAACCATAGCACCCGCCGTTCTCAGAAACTTTGCATTTCCTCTTGTTCCCCCTCTCTGTCCCTCCACGTTGTTACCCCGAAAGGGACCACTAACGAAAGCCCTATGTGTGCGGCGGTTATACCTACTACCTCCCGGGGTTGGCCTCTTGCCGTCCACCTTTTCCCCCTACATTTATTTTTGTCGCCGTCAATGTGCTGATTCCTCGACGGGGCCCCTCTCACCCGCCCGGTTTATCCAGCTTTTCTGTCCCTCGTCTCTTCTGAAACACCCGTGCTATAGATTGTTCACTCGATGAAGGCGGCGGCGAACAGCGGAGCGCGTTGGGTGAACGTGTTCGTAGAGGCGGCGGGAAGTGGCAGCGGGGAGATGGTCGACGCCGTCGTGGCGGTCATGGTAGAGGTCCTCCCGAGGGATTCGGTGAGGAGCGAGCAACATCTCGCTTCTTCGGCATGCGTCTTGACTCCTTGATGTGTCCGACCCGTGAGAGTTTTATTCGTCGGGCGTCGCTTGTTCTTGTGGTCCTCCTCGACCCTACTGGTGTTGCCTTTGCTCTCTTGTTTGTGATGCAGAATCGCTTGGTCTTTTTGTTGTTTCGGGGTGTTACCGTAGGTTGCGTAAGATACCACACCCCCTGGACAGATTTTCAAAGCTCGACTACTCCACGACGAAGAGGATGCCGAAATCAAAGGATATGTTTTCGGAAAGCTCTTGATGGTTCCAACGCCGCCATTCTCGGCACCGTCACTGCTTTTCTTGCCGAGAAATTGAGCTTCGAAAATCGGTCGAAGGGATGTGATATATTACGCAACCTTCGGTATTGTTGTCTTTGCTTTTGGCACTACACGAATGTTTGCTGTCTGTCGTCTGCTCGGATCAGGTGATGGACACAATCACAGCTTGCAAAGGGCCGTGGCGGACGACGGCTCTCATGGCCGCCGCCGAGAGCAGGAGCACCGCATCCGTAAAAGCCGTCATGAACGCGATTTCCGCAATCGATGACAGCACCAGCGATGGCGACGACGAGAACTTCGACAACATGGTGCGCCAAGAACGTTCTGTACCACGCGTCACCTTGTTTTTGACGGGACATTTTTGCGAAGAGTGCGGTTATGAGGTTGCGCGAAACCCTTTCCATGGCGGAAACTCGTCAGCGGCGTCCCGAGTTTTGTCTGCAAGAAGACGCAGTCTGAAAACCGTACGAGCGCTACTCTATACGCCACGCCTTTCGAAGGAGATCAGCAAGGGGAGTGTGTACTACGAACGTTCACTATTGTGATTGAGGTGCCGAACAGAAGGAACAATTTGTTCCGTACAGGGTACACGAGTTTTTTGCGGCAAGAGACTGTGTGAACCGAAACCGCACGCGACCCAACCATGCTATCTATACCCCTGAACGCGAGTCCCAGAGGACCGAACTGCAGCCATCGACAACCCGTCAGACCCCCTCCGGACAACGCATCCACCGTCACAGACAACCACAAGACAGCAACGATCGCAACCACGAACGATACAGATGACACTACAACTGCAACATCGGTACCCTTTCGCCCCCCACCCACCCCATCGCGTTCAGCGCCTCACGGGAGAGCCTCCGAGCCCTTTCTCGGCGGACTCTCTCTCGCATTCTAAGGCTTCAGCCGGTCGTGGGGCGCCGACGATCAAGACAGACGGTCTTGGCCCGAACTGGGCCTCGTGGAAGGACAGGAGCCTCGCCGGGACATTGAAACGCTGGGACTCCATAGCGAGCATGCGTTCGCCGCCCCCCCCGAACCCGCAGTATCTGGTGAGGCTGGAGTCGAATTTTGTTGGGTGGGTTTTTCCAGCTGTTTATTTTGACACAATGCCCGCTCTATCCCTGCCATGTGTGCAAGTTCTGATTCCCGGTGCGGTCATCCGGAAGCTTTTACACTGCATGCTGCAAATGTGTGCACTGTACTCATAGTCGTGCATGCCGTTGTCGTTAGACCATTGACCTCGCATCCCTACAAGGCCGGGACGGAGCACGCCGGGGTCTCACCGGACCAGGCTCTCACATCACCTAGCGCGAAGCGCCGTAACGTATATGGGCGAGTCGCATGAAGGGTGCGCTCCATCCTGCTAAGGGTGTTCGGCATATTGTGCTTACTTCCTTGCGTACGGATGACAGCTGCGTATGACTTGCTTTATTTCTGGTGCTTTCACTTTCTGAGACAGTTGCAAGCACTGCTGTGTAACTGCCTCGAGGATGCTTGACCAATTTAACATAACGTGGTGCGATCATCCCCCTTTTGCGGAGGGAGGGTTCTCGACCCCGCACAACATGATCTACTCGACCACCAATTTGGTTACCGCAAAAAAAAACAGAGGTAAAAAAAACAAAAAACGGTAACCTGGTTGCCAAGTTCACGAAGTGAATTGGCTTCTTTTACAACGTCGTTGCCAAACGACGAAAACCCAATCCCGATGGCAAACACTGAGAGGAGGGCTTGTATTATAACGCCGTTGCCAAGCGACGAAAACCCAACCCCGATGGCAAACACCGGGGGGGGGCGGGGGAGGGGGGGGGGGAGGAGGTTTATTCGACAACATGCTCACACGCGGAACGGGTAGGGCTACAGGAACTGGGTGCAACCATGCACAGGGAACAGGCAGCAACTCACGAGACTCGCCCTGATTTTCTCCCTCCTCGCCTGTTGCTGCCGTGTTGCTCGCTACCGCGAAACGAACCCCACCCCGGAACACACGAACGAGTGGCAACAGAGGGAGAGAATGATCGTGGCGAAGAACGTGCGGGGCCACACTGCGCTAACTTGTGCCGCCAACAGCGGGGTCCTCGACAACGTCGTGATCGTCTCGGAAGCGATGGGAAAGTTCCTGTCTGCTTACCAGGCACGTTGTTGTACACAGCGGTCTGCGAGGATACGCTGAGTCATGTTGTACGGTAGCGCTTCGTTTGATAGGTTGCGGGGTGCATTCGTTGGCGGCGACGGTCGTCGCAAAGAACTTTTTTTTGCGCTCGATCAGTTGACGGAAGCCCGGGAAAGTAAGGGGCACGTCGGTGGCATCGTCACGGCTGCCGCTGGTGGTGTCCCAGTGGCGGTCCTCGTTGTTGGGCTTTCGGTTGTTGAGTAGGACAAGAAGAGGCATCGTGGGGCAAATTTGGTCGAAACGATGCCCTCTTCCCCACAGCAACCGGACACATACGATCTATTCTGTCATGGCGTGAAGATGTAGTGCACACCGATTGCAAGACTTCGACCGGCTTGAAACGTAGGAGCTCGGGGGCGAGTTGGCGTGGTTGACTTGGAAATGGTCGAAAGCGGGACAAAAATGTTCCGTCACGAGACGAGCGATGCAGCTATCAAGAGCGGAGGCCGCACGATCACCCAAGAACATATCGTAGAGAAAAGGCAACAAACGAACGTTTTGGGGTGCTCACTTGTGCTGGTCGTTACAGATGACGGACGCCTTGAGCTCATCGCTCTCCACGGGCTGCAACAACCTCTCGCTTCCGGTAAGTGAAGAACAACATGGAACCCAAAGCGTTTTATTGAGTCTGCATGAGGCACTTTCCTCGCAGGCGGGCGGGTGGCGTGTTCGCGTCCATCCCGGTCGGAAGAAGTATCAGTACGGAAAGACCAAAAAAACTGTATTTGGCGTTGTGTTTGCGCTCTTTGCGGCGGTGGTGACCCCAGAGTTTAACGGCTTTTTTTCTCCTGCAGGGCTGCACACGCGACGACTCGGATTCCATATTGATGCAGCTACCTTTTATGTATACTCTGTGTGCTTCTCGGTTGCATGTAAAGTTGCTGCTATTGGCCAGTCCGTCCGTCCATCCGCCGGTCGTGCTGGCGCGTTGTGCGACATGAGGTATTCTATAGCGGCTGCTTTCGATAATAGATGACACACATAGCATAGCCAGCTCCATTGTGCGTGGTGTTACCAAAGAACACCACGATACATTCACCAACCAATCAATGGTGTCGGCCTCGTTATGTTTGAGGATCTCCACCCTGTGGCATCAACTGAAACAGTACACAACGAGCCCATTCTCGGAAGTGGAACAATTCTTTGTTTGGTCTACTGTTCGCTTCTTCGTTCCGCTCAGTGTTTCGCTGCCCGCTCGTTCGTTATTTTTTGGGATTGTTCTACTGTAGGTGGAAGACGCGAGGTTGAGCGTGCTGGCCTACCTTCTTCAGCACGGCGCCAAGCCCACCAACAAGGGGCTCCTCCGACTCTGCAACTTGGTCAAGTTTCCCCGACTGAAGGTGCTGTATCCTGATTCATTCATGCCATTTCCCGAAGCGTCTGTTTTGACTTTGAAAAGGCTGACCTCCACGCTCTTCTCGCGCAATGTCGATTGCTAGAGATACCGAAGTGTTTGCACAACGCGTGGGACTAACCCGTGATATTCATTGAGCCCCTCGAAATCGAAAACTTGTTTGTCCTTTCTCACGCCCTTTACGTCAAGAGCGAAAAACTGAAAGCTTGGGATGATACAGACCGAGTGTTGCTTTTCAAATTGTCACTGAGTTCAGCTTAATGCGCTGGACTGTTTTTGACCGTACTTCCTTGTTGACCATCAAGGGACGCGGTATACGAGACTAGGAAGTATTCAGGAGCAGGGTTCAAATCCTTCTCCTTGTAGTCGTACAACCGTTGTGCGTTGATCCCGAAACGAGAATACACTCGACCTTTCTGTCATCTTGGTCGACAGGAGCAGACCGGTCGTAGAAGCGAAGCCACCAGCGGCATGAGGAAGACATTGGGTTGTCTCGGACTGCCCCCCCCCGGTTGTATATTCTCATTCTTATTGGTGCTCTGCGTGTGGGAGGCTGGACAAGAAATAAATATCTCTTGCTAGTTGACCTCACTCCCTCAGTCAAGTCACCCGTGCATCGGGACCTTGGCACATGTTTGGCTTCATGTCGACCAAGAAGCACAATGTCCCAATCCCGAGCATCGTGGACGTGAGCCTTACGAATATTTTCCCGTCGAACCAACGGCACAAGCACCGTGCCGTCTTCTCTAACGACGTGCTGTTGACGAAACACATACAACAGATGTCCTCCTTCCTACTAACGATGAGTATTCTTACGTGAAATAATCGCAACAGGAAGGTGTATCACCCTTGTTCAGCCTCCCCTGGGTGTGCGTTTGTTCCGACCAGCGGGACTAAACCCTCCCTGCCCGAACGAACATTTTCTTGTGCCCCGTCTTGGGCGAGTAGCCCTCCCTTGGTGCTCGGTGTTGCTTCTCACTACCCAGCTACACCTTGCTGGTGCTAGTAGTGCTGCTGTTGTGGTTGCGGCCGACAATTGTTTTATCGAGCGGCAATGCCGGGGCTTCCTGTCGCCGTTGAATCGCTGGCACTCCGCCACTCCTTGTTTTCGGTCGGGGCACTTTGTGTCCCTCCCGTTTTTTTCGTGGTTCCTCTAGTCTATCTGGGCTCCGAAAAACAACAGTTTCATGGTTTTATCGACCTGAATCCTTCGCGTGCCCTACCTTCACCGCCGATCCCCAGGAAAGCCTGTTGGGAGCCATCTCCTCGGCGGACAACCCGTTCATCCCTGGCATGAACCTGTCCGTCGCATGCACGATGGCGACCAGGCGTGCCATGGAAGGAGAAAAACGCCGTCTCGCTTCGATGCAGGTACCGCTACAGGATGGGCAACCACCCTGCTCGATCGCGCGTGTGTGGAGCAAAAGTCCTCGGTCAACGAGAGCAATTACGGTAGAGAGGGCCGCCACCATCGCGAAGACGACGGTTTGCTATGACGACCTACTTCATCATGCATCGATGCACGGAAATACCGCGCGTTCTCCAATATTCCGCCGCTAGAGGTCACGAAGCGCGTCGGCGTATATCTATGCATGTTTGCGCAGTTTCAAGTCTGGTGTGTGCTTGCTCTCCCGCCTGGGCCTTACTCATAGGAACAGCATAGAGTGCCACGCCACGTGCATGTCTGCCGCCAAAGTTCCATCACCCCACCGGGCGACCGAAAAATTCACCCCAGGCTGCCATTGACGAGCTTCTGCTCGAGGTTCTAGAGCACATGCCTCAGACAGTCAAGGGGTTCAAAGGCGAGATGAGAGACTGCTCCGCCATCTTCGAGCCCGAGACCGTTATCTCCCGATTCCATGGCTATCAGGTGCGTGCGTGCGCTTGTGCGTTGAGGTCGTGGTTTGTTCTTCTTTGACTTAAGAAACACGCACACTCAACTCCGGGTCATGACTGTTGGACTTTGTAGCTGCATTATTTGTTTTCAGTATCGAAGACAGAAGCGACCGCCATGCATTCACCTAGGCCGGCCGAGCATTGAGTAGTCAGTGTGCGCGTGTGCTTCGTTTTGATCGGTCTCTGCCGCGAGCGTTTGTGGGTGTTTGCGCAGTCCCGCGAATGTAACTGTAGGGCGTATCGTTTCTGTTTTGGCGCCCTCTTGCTTGTTCCTGTGCAAGTAATACCGTAGAAAATACCTTCCCAAGAGGTGAAACGAACATGAAGACGGCCTAGGCACATGGATATTCATAAGTCTGGTAGTAGCTGGTAGTAGCTGGGGTTTGTTGTTGTTGTTGTTGTTGTTGTTGTTGCTCTCGTTGTTGTGTTTTCGCCCCGACGCATTCTTTAACTCTCTGGTGCCACGGGGGCTGTCAACCAGGTTCTGTTCACCTGGTGCACACAATATAATAAGTAGACCGATGAAAATGAGGATATCCATTCGATGTGGAGGCACCTTCACCGAAACTTTGTTCCGGCAGATGCGACCACGTTCCTCTCTCAACCGCCTGCCCAAAAATAACGAAACGAAACCATTTACCACAGGGGCCCTTGCACGTCGTGCTGAGCAAGAGGCAGCAGATGGAGACGTATTGCACGATCCCGTTGGTCCTAGACTTCATGAGCAGGAAGTTCACGAAGGGACTGCCTAGCCTGAGGGACACGGAGGGGGTGCTGCTCAACAACACGAGCTTCACGGAGCCCGGGCAGACCCTGTACGGTGAGAGAGGGAGACCAAGAGGACGCGGCAAGGGGAGAAAAAAGGGCAGGAAGACAACCAAGCGGTTTCGTGTCTCACGTTTCCAACCCGCGGCATTTGTTGTGAAACCTAGAATTTCTGATGAAGACCCGTTTGATCTAGCATCAGCAGTGGTTTCTCATCGAGAGATTCGCCGAACAACTTGTGCGGCAACCATCGCCACGGAACAACCGATCCCAGGACGCACAAGAACGGTGGTCGCCGTTATGGTCAGCCCTGTTTCGTTGTTTTCTTTGGTTCCTTTCGCTTCGAATGAGGGGATTTCTCGGCTCGGTCACGTCGGGGAGCGTGGTTGGTAGCTATGGGGGACGCGAGGGGATGCAAGGCACCGAAGATCCAAGAGGTACTTGTTCAATCACCGGGGGGTGAAGGTGGTGGTTCCGTACAACTGGCTGATGTCCTTGGACACAAGCACAAACAAAGGTGGCCAAGCGGACCAGTTGTGCGTTCGACGCTCCTACAGCTAGTAGTGTGCACGGAATCAGGGCAGTCGACTCGGCCAGTCACTGGGCACGTGCGTTGCCGTTATTTAAGCGATATTTTCTGTAAGAGCGTTCTGCTGGGAAGGCGCACGCGCTGGGACGCGATGAATGCTGATCGGGATACGGCTACGTGATTTACCTCTACAGTAATCTAGTCTCGATTACACATTCGGCCGTCCGCACGGTTAATTGTGGGGTTGCGTTGTACTTTCTCGATACGTATATTGTTTCTGGGAAGTAGGGTCCTACTCCGCTGCAACAGCATTTCCTCCACAATCTCAGTGATTGTCATATCGTTTGTGCACATATTTACCGTAAGATTGCGGGCGCACGCGCAAGTGTGTGATCGATCGAATGTCAAAAATCCACGCTCCACAACCCGGAGGGTGTGCGCAACCCGACCGGCACGTGGTAGGAAACCTCTCGACGAGATCTTTCCGAACCCTCCCTTTTTCGGCATTGTCAGCCCCTTGGGTTGTTGCTTTGGGACAATCGAGCTATGATCGTCGACCGCACACACACACGCGTGTGTGCGTTCGCCCGCGTACTTTGAACAGTACCCGTGTGAACAAACGTACGTCTGCTATTGACAAGCGTCGATTCTGTCGCACGTCCAGGGGATGGTTTGCTCGCGGAGGGCAGGGTTTTCTTCTTCGGAATGGCTCTGCAGAGAAGCTACGCGGGGGGGACGCTGTCGAGTATCACCTACTTTCCGGGAGCAAGGTTTATCATTGCCGGGCTTCTGTCCAGGCCGGGCAGCTACTACAAGGTACATCGAGATGGCCGTGTGCAGAGACACCTGCCCAGAGGTCGCGTTGTACGTCGCGACGCGAGAGTGCTTCTCGCGGTTGCGAATACCTGGATACAATCATTCGCAAGTCTGCAGAATACAGAATACATAAGCTATTCATACCTGGTAGGCAATATTTCGTTGTTGTTGTGTGGGTGGTGTATATTACAGACCGTCAGATTTTTTTCGTATGTTTTTTTTTTCGTGTGGTCGCCTCTGGATTGTTTCCACTACAGATTCCTCGCGATTGTTGGGGGAAATCTTCGTGTCTTTCGTTTTCTTTGAATCTTACAGCAGCATTCCCTTGTCTGGGCTAGCTTGCGACCATTGGAAAATCGTTTCTTTGCCTTGAGTGGCAGGGGGGAAGATGTACGTGATATTAGCTCCTAATGTAAAGTTAACGACAACAACGCCCTTCGCGAGGAAAAGTAATAAAAATAGTAGTTCAACGACTACTTCAACCGTGTCTACATTCATGCATACATATGACACACACTGCTTCATATTGAGAAGAGAAAGCCGGGCACACCCGGCACACCAGGGGCTTGCACACACACAAACCAGATCATGGTCTTTAGAAGCATCATTGTGCTTTCAACCCCGCCGAGACTGACTTGTTTTCATTGGTCAGACGGTTAGCGTGGTTGATACTAAAAGTAAGGCCACATACACACCTTCTTCCCCTGCGCGGTCCGGAATCGTGCCGAAACCTCGCTCGGCGAACACACTCTGCATTTGGTAGGAGTTGGAAAGGCACGCAATACCCTCGCCCCCGTTGTCCACGAGCCGTTTCCCTCCTGCTCGGGCGTTCATTGCTCGAACCCGCGCTTGGCATGGTAAAAACGTAATGTTTTTCTTCCGTGCGTCCACAGCGACGCCAAGGGTAACGGAGTGGCTGTGATGCGCATTCCTTGTTGCATGCCCCCCTCACCCCTTCTGTCGTCCCCGCAAAGGCACCGGCCCACCACAAACGTTGTGTGTATCATGCGAACGCTTGCGTGTACAGGTTCCTGCCCTTCGAATGTGCTTGGACCTCGTGACGTACATCTTGATGATGATCATCTTTGGGGGGTTTGTCATTCTGCACGATGCGGGCGACACCTTCGACTGGATGGAGATCGTCTTCACCATGTACATTTTCGTGAGGGCACTGGTCTTGTTGTTGTTGTTGTTGCTGTTGCTGTTGTTGTTGTGGTGGTGGTGGTGGTAGTCGGTATTGTTCTTGTTGATGGTCTTGCTGGGCGTATTGCCTCAGCTATTGGCTGGGAACGCCCGACTCCTCTCGTGCATGAAGTACTTTGTTTGTCCTTCGAAAATTGGCGTCAATCACCTCTCCCACGAAAGCAAGAAAACCCACACACCGCGCGTCAGGGAGGCATCCTGACCGAGTTCCGGGAGATTCTTGACGACCCCTGGGAATACATGCGGGACCAGTGGAACCTGCTTGACGTGGCCTCCCTCACCTTGCTCCTTGGCGGGGTGATCCAGCGAATGTACGGACAAGTCGACGACCAGTCCTCCCGGGCCTTGTATGCCCTCAGCGCGCCCCTGGCGTTCGCCAGGATCCTGTTCTTCGTGCAGATCCTTCCCTCGCAAGGGCCGATAATACAGGTGCGTTGTAATAACTCTTGCTCTGACAACGGTCATGATGACGCGGTAGGCTCCGTGATGCTGTGAGTGTCAACTGCTCTTGATGGACGGCCGATTCCCGGGTCCCACAAGGCCCACGTCTGGTAGTACAGGTCAGCTCCAGGGTTTGAGTTGGACCAAGTCGTGGTCTCCATGTCAGCCGTGCAGGTTGACCGACACCCGTGAGGGCACAAAATGCAATCTTTTTGCTATCGGGACACACACAGCATCCAAAAGCGTGTTTTCGGCTTCGATCCTCGGTCGGGAAAGTGGCCGTGTTGCGTGTCGCGGCCAAATTGACCCGAGGGCGGCTGGTCGGAAAAATGTTTTTCATGAGCCTCAGCGACAGTGGAGAGACATCACGATTTGTCAAGTCTAGCGGGTGTCACCTGCAGCCTTCCACCCATCACCCGCTCCCCCTCTTCCTTGGCAGGTAATGTTTTCGATGACGGGCCTTCTGGCCAAGTTCGGGATGATCATGCTGCTTGTGATGCTGGGCTTCGTGACGTCCTTCTACAGTCTGTACAAAGAAACCACCACCTATGGCGTGGTGAGACAGCGACACAAACAAGAGGCGCAGACAGAATAGGCGCCAAGCGTAGGAAGAAAGGGGTCGGAAGACTGTAGTAGGTGTTGGCGAAGAGAGGGGTGTGGTGCAGCAACGAAAACATGGCCGACTTCCTGCAAGAAGTGCGACCAGCCGGTGCGATTTACACGAGAGCTACGAAAAGTACTCGTAGACACGGAAGCACTGCACCGTCTTCTCCTGGTTCCGGCGGCGTCTTCGAATAGAACCGCCGGCTCGGGAAAAGAAGAAACCATCAGGAAACTCGCGAAACGACATTCCGGTTTTGTGGCTGCCAAGTGTCTCGAACATGTGTCTACTATACTACATACAATCAAGACGCGTGAACGTACTGCAGTGTGAGCCGCTTCTTGCGACAGAAGTGTCAATAAGGCATGCGTTTCGTTTCGATTTGCATGAGGGTTATGATGATGCTCGAAAACACGCTTCTGTTGTCCTCATCGGAACGTGGACGCTGTTCTTCTGCAGGTATGGAAGGCCATCTTCAGGGCGACGCTGGGCGAAACGGACTACTTCGACGACTTCTCGGGGACCACGTTCGACGGCGTGGCCACCGCCCTCCTGGTCGTCTACCTCGTTCTGCTTACCATCATGATGCTCAACCTCCTTGTGGCGGTGCTGTCGACGGCACACGCCAAGGTCGACGCGGACGCCGGCCTCGAGTACAAGGTTAGCAGCCGCCGTCATCGTTTTCCTGCAGCAACTTTTTCGGGCTTCGAGCACAAGCGTGCGCCCGCGCCCGCGCGTGCTTCTTTGGTTCGCGTCGACGGCGGTGCTTACAGCGACTTACCAGCGGTATCGGCGGGTGACATAAAAATTTTCCCCGGAGGAGAGAGACGACCAATTTTCGAAGAATGAACCACGCCCAGGATGTATGGTCCGACGCTCTCGACAATCCCGTAACAAAAAAGCACGCCGGAGATTCACACCTGAGCATTCGCCCCTAACCAAGGGAGTCAGGTGGATCTTTCCTCCGCCGTGGAGCACTACGCAGACCTCAAAGGCTCTTCCCGCGATTTTGCGAGGTCTCTCGCGGGCTTTACCTAATCGCGAAACAACAGGCGTTGTCACGAATGTTGTCAATCACCAGCATAACCATTGGCGGCGAGCAAGCCGTTCTATCTCCTTAGACATGCCATCCTTTCACCGCCAATTTTCCTGCCTGCACTGTGCCAAGCACGAGGCCGAATGCCAGGCGTCATACTTTTTTCCCTGCCTACCAGCCAACGAACGTTGGAAGAGGTGGTTGCGTTTGAATGTATTCATACGTCGTTCCTCTCCCTCTGTTCGCCATGCATCTTCCGTACCCTCTTTTCCAACAATGCTATTGAAAATCCCGGTCTAAAAGTGTGGACGTTTCGTTTGGCCTTTTACATGACATGCATGCGTTGGTCAGCATCAATCACGCTCCCTCGCTCACGCACACCTCATCACTTTTCACCGTCTCACCTCTCACAACGGCGATTCAGGAACACGTCGTCGACAACCATGTTGCAGGTCTAGATGTTGCGATTTGTCGTCCCTGGGCCTGTCATCTTCGGTCGTGAGTCCCGAGTCCAAACATTCCCACGTGATCTCAATGCACACTCTAGCACCGTATGTCCGCTGACAGTGCTTTTTGAGGTTCGCAGGGTTTCTTTTGTTGTGTTTCCATTGGTTCGAAACCAAAGAAATATAAATGGTTTCCTAGACCTCTGGGAGAAGACTCATTTTGGCGGCAATCGATAACACTCTTGTTCGATCGCACGACCTCGCCGCATCTTGAATCTGTCAGGTGACCAAGGCTAGGCTGATCCAACACTACGTAAACGTGGTCGAGATCGACCGCCTGCCGCCGCCCCTCAACCTGTGTCAGTGGATCTTCGCCCTCCCCTTCATGGTGCTAGACTTGTGCTCCCGCTCCTCCCGGCGCCCCTCAACGGCACGCACCAACTCCGCCGCCGGCTCTGCTTCCAACAGCAGCAGCAGCAGCAGCAGCAGCAACGAAGAAACAAAGAGAGGCCGCAGCCATTTCGATGTCGCCCGTGGCTGCTTCGGCCGGCTGGCGTTCTGGGCTATGCTCGGCCCCATCGCCGTCCTTGCCGGCTGGGTGCTGTGGATGATCTCCGTCGTAAAGGCACCGGTCGTGGTCTGGCAAACCTCGGGGGACAAGAGTCGCGGCGGAAGGATCGCCAGGATGCTGCTCGTGATCTTCGCTTGTGCGGTGGGAGCACCCTTCTGGCACCTGGTCATGTGGGTGCGAGGCGGCGTGGCTGGCGTGAGGAGGACCATGCGTGCTCTGGGCTGTTGCTGCTGCTGCGGGAGGGGGCGCGGGGGCGGGGCGAAGCGGGTCGGCGGAAGGACGCCGACCGCATCGATGACGGTGCGTGGCTTTCCCGCGACGACCGTGGCCGAAGGAGCAGAACATGATATGGAGAAGGTGGTGCCGATCGTGCTGCAGGAGGCAGATGGGGGTGAGTGGTGCCAGATTTCCCGTGGGTCGCGATTATTGACGATCAAAACAACACAGCCCGCCGCCCCCAACCTAGGTACAGTAGGCATCCTTTTGAACAAACGACTTTAAACGAAAAGCAGCGCGGAGACAAAAAATGCCCAAGAACTACCACGCACCACCCGCGTTAGACCCGTATTTTCCCGTAGTAAGGTAGTTGTCCATCAAATCCTATCGGCCCCACCACAACAACTCCCCGCTCTTGCCTTCCTGGAATCGCTCATGCGTGATCGTACCCCTCATGTACGACGCTTTCCTCAGCTCTGGCCACCAGCGAGCTCCAGATCTTTCTCGACGACCCCATGAGCGACCCGGCCGTGCGCCGAGACGAGGAGACGAGGGCAACTACGGTGGAGCACATCAAGCTGCTCAGAAACCGCCTGGAGGCCACGACCAAGGAGCACATGGACGGGCTGCAGGCCTACCTCCTCAAGACCGCGGGAGATATCTCCCGCCAGCTGGAGGAGTCGGGTGCGGGGGGGCGTGGGTCCCATGGCGGTGGTGGTGGTGGTGCTGCCGCCGCCGCCCGGGGTCGGGTAGGTGCCGCACCCCAAGACGAAGATGACGACGAAAATCGCGACGTGGGCGGATGGGAGGCCGGGAGCCGGGGCGCGGAGGAGCTGAGGCAGATCGTTGGCGCGAGGTTTAGCGAGCTCGACGCAAGCCTCGAAGCAAGGGAGGGCGCGCTACAAGAGAGGATGGGGACCATGATTGACGAGCGATTGGGCGCCCTGACGAAGAAGCTAGACCTTGTCCTCAGCGCGCGGGAAACCGGGGCGCCGTAGAACCATGCAGACCTCGGTTCGGTTTTCTTTTGAAAACGGTCGTCACCGTAATCGTGAAGTCTCAGGAGCGGGAACAACGCCCTTAACACCTGCCCCACTGCTGTCGGATAGGTGTGCAAGGTCGCTCATGGGCTCATTTGTCGTAGCAAGAAAAACCCTCGAGTCTTATCGGTCGCGCTTCCCTCATTGACCGTCGCGGGGCGGGTTTGTGGCTATTTTGATGCTATCGTTTGTGGTGTCGCGGCAGGACCATCCTTGGTTCCAGCTGAGCTACAAGCTTTGTTGATCCAAGCCAAAGCTAAAGGTTTTGAACGGTGAGCGGGAGCCTGTTCTTTAGTAGTATGGGGGTTGGGTAGGGATGGCGTAGGGGGGTGTATCCATGAGTGTAGTTCAAGGGGGGATTGGTTATTTTTTCTGGCCCGGGACATTTTTCGACAATCGACCGCCGACACCGACGTCGATGGTGGGTGGTGGTGTAGCACCGGCACTCTCGCGTTCATGAAATCCAACGCGAAAGACGAGCGGACGACCTCTGGATCGACCGAATGATACCGCGGGCCTTGTAGGGCAACAAGTTCCGGAGGAACACCGGTCGGTCCTGAGCGTCTGTGCTTGGTACATGTAGTTTGCCTTTCGTGTTCTTGGATTTATGACTTATTCTACAGCTTTTCCAACGTATATTTCCTTGTCCTTTGATATTGCGCGTGTTGTTCACTTCTACGCAAAATAATGTTTAAATAAAAGGTACTTGACGGACTATTTTTTCTTTTTTTCTTTTTTCTCCCATCATTGGACTCTGTCGTCTGCCCCTCTGGCCCCCATCCTCCATTTCTACTAGCTAGACGACCCTACCGGGGTCACCTAGGAGGGGGGGGTTGGACCCCCTCCTGCGGTTCCTGCCTGAGATACTTGTATCGCGAGAAGGGTACAGCAATCCCTTCCCTCGCGACTTAAATGAAGTCGATCTAGTTTACTAACAACGAGCTTTGCAGCGCGTCGCTTCCAACTTAGACCAGGATTTATTAAGTGAGAAAAAGAACTCACGTTGCCGGGACTCGAACCCATCACCTGGCCCTTGGTAGGCTGCGGGGGTACCCACTATAGACCCCCGGGGCGACCGTATGTTGCTTACTGTAGATCTTGCATGTTGAAACCAGCGGCACGTCCATTTTTGGGAGTGCGCGGGACTCGGTCTGGAAGGGCTGCATTATTGGTAACCCGATGTGAACTCCTGATAAAACGTCCACAGATATGCCTGCCTCTCGTGTTTGGCTGGCAACAGGAGAGGTAAATGCCCGATGCTGGTTGGTGCGCCACAGTACATGGCACAGGCCTGGTAGATAGGGCATTTGTCGGGGAAGCAGTCTTCGTACGCCTGTCGTAAGTTTGGTGTACTGGGACGTTTCCTTTGTTCCACAGATCACTTTAAACGTTGTTAGCATTGTTCGTTGGTACCTAAGCGCAGCGATGAGGGTGTGTGCGAGTTTCCCGCGATTGGAGACTTCGCAACACAGCGCGATCGGTCTCTACGTTCGTTCTTGGACGTGCTTGCACCCCACCCGACCCCCGATATTAATTTTCCGATGCCCGTTTGTTGTTTGTTGTTTTTCGTCGTATGTATTTTGGCAACAGTCCCCCCATTTTCCGTGGTGAGACGTGTGCTACACTCTTCAGTGTATGTAGAGTGCTGCACTTTTCAGTGTATTTTTTCGTACAACTACAACCCTCCAGCGTCACACAGGAGGGGGTTATATTAACCACCAGAGGGCTTTTTTCTTCTTTTTATTTTATTTTCGTGCCCCACCCTTCTGCGGTGCGTGCTGAGTTTTATGTTTATCGTGAGAAGGGTCCAGCCGTCCGCGACGTTCCTTTTTGGCATTTGATTGTATTTTAGGGTCAAGTTTTCGCTGCTAAGTTCGTTAGTGGTGGCGAGTTCTGTAGCCTGCAGTAAGCTCGCAGTGCCTTCCAACAATGTCTGTCCAACCCAACCGTGGCGATTACAGGGTATGGGTGGCGGTACGTTCCTGTCGTTGTGCTCTCGGTATCGGCGAAGTGGATGCACTTTTCCGATTTCAATGAAACGCCTTTTCTTCACTCGGTACAGGGTGCTGCTGTACCGTAGCACCGTGTGGCGGTGCCACAGCGGTTTTTGCAGTTTGGTGTGGTTTGGAGAGTCGGGTTCAACGCTCGGATTGTAACTACAGTAAGAGAGGCACCCGCTTCCCACAGCTTTGACCTGGGTGGTCTACGGCGAAGACAACGCCTTTGTTCTACATTTGCCTTATTCACGTCAACCGATTTATTGAACATACCGTCTCCCTCCTCTTCCCTCGAATATCATCGTGCATATCACCGTACTTCGTTCAGCGTCGCATAGATACGAGAGGTACAACGTGGGTGTATGCAAAAAGCCAAGAAGTAAAAAGGGTCAATTGCATTCGGCAATGTAAACGGATTGCAAAGCCAGCACGAGAGACTTTCAAAAAAAATAAACACCGTGGTGCCAACTCTCGCACTGCAAATACACTCGAAGCTCCACCTCACAGAACAACTCTCGCCAACGCTTTATTCAAACGAAGATCCCCGGAGACCCACTGCAAAGATATTTTTCTGCGAACGTGGTCGTGAAACATACGCTTCGAGGAAGCGCGCAGTCTAGCAACGCAAATCCTCACTCATGTTTCTTGCGATAGCAATACAGAAATACCGATGTACCTGTCCTGGACGTTTAACAGAGTCAAGGATGTAAAACATCAACCCAGCTATAAGCTTCAGAATGCCCAAGCACGGCACAACCCTCAATTTCGGACTCTTCCTCCCAAACTCGTCACCATAACCAACACCAGCAAGGGAATTTTCGGCAGCCTTACGGGTCTAGAATGTGAAAATACCCTTGTCCTTGCCGTAGTTGAGGTACTCCGTGTGCATGGGGCAGGGGTCGCCGAACTTAGCCTTGAGCGCCGTGTTGGAAATGTCGTAGAAGAATTCATTGTACCACTTGAACGTTCTCGCGTCCATGCGCGTAGTCTGCCTGTCTCCCACTTGATCACCGTACGCGATCAGCCGCTCAGGGTACCTTTTTGTTTAAGGAAATTGTGGGGATGCGCGGGCTCTCAGTGTGCAGGAATCACAACTTCGTCTTGGAGAAATTGGGGCCCTTGTGGGGGGCGTTAGTTCAGGGGTAGGAGGAGAAATCGTGTGACAGAAATCCTGGAAACGGCGGCTGGAGAAGAGTCGCGGCAAGCCATTCATCCCTTCTGGGACACGCACCCTCTCCCCAACGTTCTCCCCGCAAAACCGTAACCCTCACCGCACGCGGCTAGCCGCTCGATGCACCCGGAACTAAACGTGTTGACGGGTTTGCATGCATCTACGTATATCGGCCATCAAGCGTAGTCCAACGAGGAGGGCAGAGCGCCACTTTGAGCGGGGTCGAGCATCACGATGCCGGCTTCGGGTTCCGAAATGCACCCGCATTGTGAGATTTTCACACCTAAATGACCAAAGCCAACTGTACGCGGACCAACAGGGGGCGAACAGCGACAACCGCAAGGGTTTTCCTCTTGCCCGTGCTCGCCCGTCTTCGACAATACCGTAAAAATACGCCCGGCACGACCTCGGAGTGCTTGAGTGAGGAAACGATTGGTTCCACGACAGAGAACGCGCGTTGTATGCTCCTATCGGACAAACGCTGCATGCGACTTTCACACACAGGAAAGACAACCCAGGCGTTAGAAAACTATGGAGCTTAGGTCCAGAGGAGACTATTTAGCTGCTGCAGATGAGAAATCGAGACCGAAACGTGAACGCCTTCGTTCTGCTATCTACACCCAGTGATTGCTCCAGCACTCTGATCCAACCAGCAAGCAGCAGACGATCCTGGGTCGTGTTTGATCAAAAGCCGCGAAGCCCGAAAGCAAGCTTTGTGGCACTAATCTCGTTGCTTCTTGGATGCTCTCGGCTGCTCACCCGTTCATCAGCGACACTGCCAGGGTGCTGCGAAGCGTGTTCTTGAGCTCGAACAGCATGTCCACCAACTCTTCCGCGTGGTACCTATCCGGACGGGAAATGACCGAGTCAGTTGCGTCGCACCACGCGAAGGCACGCTTGCGGCTGTGCTCTCATGCTGTCGATGTTGCATACTCCTATTGCATACATACTCCAATGCCATAGATACGATGAGGACAGAAGATCGTGCGCACACATGCAAGCTGATGACACTGCTAAAGCTGTTGGCGCTGCAAAGCACAAAATAGCGTTCGCACAGATGCTCAAGGGATAAGCACGACAGGTAACCAACGAGAACGGTCGTCGTTTCGAGGGACGGTAAATGTTGACAACGCCCAGGCAGCACTACCTTCGTGCATACTGCTGTGTCCATGGCGCAGTGTAGCATTCGTCACGGGGGTCTCAAGAACCGGCAATGAGCCGCTCTTTTACGTTGCTGACTAGAGGAAATATCCAAGGAATCGGACGATTGCGGTTCGCGGGTCGAAACTGTCTGACTACCGTACAGGATGACCAATCATCAGGAGGGCCGCGAAACGCGGAGGGAACTGGCAAGCGTGGACCCGCGTCCAACCGATTTGTTCGGACACTCAACGAAAGTGGTCTTGCTGGACTCCACAACTCAAGTCCTACCCGTGTCGTTACGGCCACGAACTGCAGCCATACTCACTCACAAAACCCCATGTAATCTGATGTCGTCACTCGATACGCACGTTGGGTGGTGGGCGGTGGTAGTTCACATTGTGTCCACCCTCTTGTCCCTCTCTGTGATTTTCTCATTATTGTCTGGCTCACGTTTTGAGCCATGGCAAAGGTGTTATGTGACAACTGACAACAACTCACTGGACCACGTAGCCCACGGTCGGAAACTTGTGGAGCGCCCCAACCAAGTTCACAGCGCAGTCGAAGATGAGCTTCTCGAACATGACCCGTCTCCACTCCAGGTAGTACTCCTTGTACGCAAAAAAAAGGTTTAGTGTTTCGATCGCACGTCAAATTGGGCGAGATGTCAAAATGACGGATCGCGGGTTGGATTTGCGTGAACGAACGGCGACAAAAGAGAAATCTACATTAAAAAAAAAACAACTAACATACCATTGATCGTAGCCTGCAACATAAAAAAAGCGTTTGCGCAGCACTTCTGTAGACGAGGTTAGCCAAAGTCCCCGGATACAACACCCACGTATTGACCCCCCCCGGTGGCCCCACCGTAGTTGTCATCCGTCGCAAGGAAGTAAGCACAAAATGAACCTTAGCAGGATGCAGCGCACCCTCCATGCGACTCGCCGAATACCTCACGGCGCGTCGCCTTGGCGTTTTGAGAGCCTGGGCCGGTGAGAACCCGCGTGCTCCGTCCCGGCTTTGTAGGGATGCGAGGTCAATGGTCTAACGAGTACGGCCTGCACGACTATGAGTACACCCCCCCCCCCGTAGCCCGCGCCCCCCCCGGTGTTTGCCATCGGGGTTTGGGTTTTCGTCGCTTGGCAACGACGTTGTAAAACAAGCCAATTCACTTCGTGAACTCGGCAACCAGGTTACCGTTTTTTTTTTTTTACCTTGGTTTTTTTTTTTTTGCGGTAACCATAATGGTGGTCTGAGTAGATCATGTTGTGCGGGGTCGAGAAACCTCACTCCGCGCAACGGGGGATGATCGCACCACGTTGTGTTAAAATGGTCAAGCTTCCTCGAGGCAGTTACACAGTGCTTACAACTGTCTCTGGAAGTGAAAGCACCAGAAAATAAATTAAGTCATACGTAGCTGTCATCCGTACGCAAGGAAGTAAGCACAAGATGCCGAACACCCTTAGCAGGATGCAGCTCACCCTTCATGCGACTCGCCAAATACCTCACGGCGCTTCGCGCTTGGTGATGTGAGAGCCTGGTCCGGTGAGAACCCGGCATGTTCCGTCCCGGCTTTGTAGGGATGCGAGGTCAATGGTCAAACGATTACTGCATGCACGACTATGAGTACCCCCCCCCCCCCCCCGTAGCCCCCAAAGGGTAGTGGTCCCGAGGAGAGTCAAACGGCTTTCCTTGTCCATTTTCTCCAGGAGAGCGCTATGATCGCAACCATCTGTATTCGGAAAGTGCTCCAGCGTACATGGTACGATCTCAGGACAAACCAGGCTCGCTGTCGGCGCCCATCCCCGTTAATCGAAGTTTGGTCCGGAAATCAGTTGGCGTTCGCGCCTCCTTCAAATCATGGATACAGGTAGCAAAGGTGGCAACCCGTACCGCCAGAAAAAAATCGCTCAACAGCGCCCCCCCCCCCCCAAAAAAAAAAAACTCGACTCACAGTGGAGCAGTGCAGGCCGAACGGCGATTGCTGCAGCCGCATGGCGAAAGCCCCCTTCCACTTTCCGCACACCGCGGTCTCGCCGGCTAGCTTGGGCTCCCCACGTCCGTCGGTGCCGATGACTGTCATCGCGTCCACCGCCCTCCCCCCTACCTGGCAGAGGAACAATCAAACCCATTCGGGAGGGAGAACCAAAAAAAAAAGTCAGGAAGAACACACGGCACACATCAGAGAACAGGAACGCGTGGCATTGTTGCACAGCAGAGGGCAACGATAAAAGGCTAAAGCGTGGTGAAGTGGGCCCGCAGCGGAAGTTTGTAGCTGTGCATACGTTGGGAACCCGCATCAAGGATGACAACGCTAACCCGAGGCACAGCATACACAAAAGAACATACTCTGACGATATCGAGGACACAGTGCTGGTGCAGGGTAGAGGAAGGTAACAAAAACAGCAAGAGCATTACACAGCGCAATGCTGCTGCTGCTGCTTTGGCCAAATAGTGCGGGAAAATGAAAACAAAAAAGGTATGACGTGAAGAAAGATAGAAAAATTACTTCAAGCGGGGGTGGCGGTAGAGGACGACACGCGGAAAAAGTAGTCCGCCGATGTGACACATGTGCGTGCTCGAAGGATTCGGTGGGACATCTCCTGCCAAAAGTTGAAAACTGCTTATTGACTTGAAGTTGTGTGGACTTAGTAGTCAAATTTGGATCTGCGTTCTGTGCGTGCAGGCAGACGTTCTGCTTCGCTGAACAAGACAAAGAATAGGGTCTGCCACACGCGCCCACTGGGTTTACGCCTTGAACGGATAAAAAAAAAACTTATAAGGCAGCTGCACCCCGAGAATTGGCGGTCGTTTCGCGCTGCTGTTGCTGCTGTCTTTCTCTGTCTTTCTCTGTCTGTCTATCTGTCTGTCTGTCTGTCTGTCTGTCTGTCTGTCTGTCTCTGTCTCTGTCCCTGTCTGTCTGTCTGTCTCTCTCTCTCTCTCTCTCTCTCTCTCTCTCTCTCGCTCGCTCTCTGTCTCTATATCTGCCTCGCTGTGAGCGCATCCCCTGTGTAAGTCTCTCTTTGCTCTCCTTCTTTCATTCCTTTTTTCTCTCTCCCCGGAAAAAGTTGAAGAACCATGCGGCCACCGCGCGGAACCACAACGATCAATTACGATTGCCTCGAGAGCACCTGCTGCCTGGTTGAGTGCGGGGCTATATGTTGATTTACCAATATTGTTCTTCTTCGTGCTCCTTTCCCCCCCGGTGTCTCGCAAGCGTGAGGAGTAAGTAGCAAATAATGTGACCATGATCATTGTCAGCATTACACTGCGCTTTCGGCTTTGCACGTTGGTGTCCGGTAACCGATGAACGTAGGTAACAACATGAAAGAACGAAGAAAAGAAGGGAATAAACACAAGACGCCAGAGAAAAAGGAAAAAAATGTAAACAAAGCAAGGCTCCTCTCGGGAGTTTTCCCCGCGGTAGTTTTCCCGCGGGGGATTCCATGGGAACGATAATTGGTAACGTTATCGTGATAATTCGCAGTTGCCGTGCCCGGTCCAAACGTAAAAAAAGAAAGGAAAATAAGAAAACAAGAAAAAAAAAAACGGAAGAAGAATAGCTCCCACGTGGATTTGAACCACGGATGTTGTGCTTACCAAGCACACGCTTTCCCGCGGGGAATTCCATGGGACGGTAATTGGTAGCGTTACCGTGATAATTCGCAGTTACCGTGCCCGGTCCAAACATTAAAAAAAAAGGAGAAAAGAAGGCAAAAAATAGAAAAACGGAAGAAATTTAGCTCCCACGCGGATTTGAACCACGGACCTTGTGCTTACTAAGCACACGCTCTAACCAACTGAGCTATAGGAGCTGTTCCTTGCTCTAGGACCTGATGTGAGGCAAATTTTTGAGTTTCTGAAAACAGAAATAGCTCATCCCGTGAATGTACGTGTACCAAGATTCCAAAACACCCTATTTTTCTGCGATTGGAGGCTGCTCCTCTTCGGTCACGATTGAATGAACTCATGAACAACTCGGGTCGAGAAATCTCAACCCCTACGTTCGCGGCATGCCCACCAGTTCGTAGCCCCCCGCCACCGTCGTCAACCGGTGGTAGCCAGAGGACCTTTGATTTGCCGAGGAACGAAGTACATCGCTGAGGCTGTTTCTAAAGCTGTCTCTCTTAATGTATTGGGGGGTGGGGGGTGTCCTTTTCTTACCCCAAGAACACTGTTAAGCTTCATAGAATACGTGCAGCAAAATGGCAAATCCATAACGCCCATTTTCTTACTTAAAGCCCGAATTTCCAAGATGACCGGGCGGCGAGTAAGAAATGGGCCCATTTTCTAAACGGATCGACTCATATTTTCGCGTTAGGAAAATTGGGGGAGGTCAGTCAAACCCCAGTCGTGCCAGAACGAGGAACTGCACCGTCTGCTGCCCAACAGAGGCCCAAAATACACATTGTGGGGTCATACACAAACCCTCTGAGGAATCGAAAAGTCGGGGCGTTCTGCGTCTTGTTCACCTGACGCGAGCCGAAGACGTGCACTACAGCATTCTGTGACCCATCAAAACTTGTGTCGAGGGACCGAAAGACGGTCGCTCGGATCTGCAGATTTTTCTCTTGCACATGCTTCTCGGAGAGAAAGAGCGAAACTAAATTAAAAAAAAAATGAAAAAAATAAAACACGCAACAGCCCGACTAAAAAAGCACTTTTGAAAAAATGAAAAATCAACTTCTCCAACACCCAGCACCGGAAAATTAGTCTTGTTTTTTTGGGGGTTATATGCAGCCGAGTCTCCATTTCGATGGTCAAAGTCAGACACGCCTGCCTGTCACTCGGTTCGATCATGCGTGGGGGGTTGGATGACCCCACCCAGCAACCAACCACAGCAGTGCCTGGCTCTTACCTACCTTGTCTACCGAGAAGTAGAGTGTCGCCTGGGTCTGCTCCCCTCGGCACATCCCTCTCGACTTGAGCAGGGGCTCCAGGCAGCCGGAAGACATGAAGACAAGGTCATCTTTCTTGTCATCGGGGCACGAGTCGATCACCGCCGCAACCTCTTCCTCCGGCACGCACACGTAGATCGGGAAGTTCTGCAGCATCGCGGGTTCTGCCGCCGCGGCAAACGTTCGATATCAATGCAGGCATGGGGGGACAAACGACGGGAAGCATGATTCGCCGGGTAAGGGAAGAGAGGACGAAAAACGTAAGGTGCAAAAAATTGAAATCGAGATTTCCTATTGAGTGAAGTGAATCTCAGTAATAGCACCGAACGCTTTAAAAACCACCTCACCCAACGATTATCTTCGCGAGGAGAATTTTCAGCAGGTGCGTGTGTCTGTCGATGTGTGTGGACGGGGGCGCTTCTTCTGAGAACATAAAACAACGCCACATAAAAACACAACAGTGCATGCCTTGGGGTGCTTGTTAACGAGAGGGCGGCGAAGGGGAATCACACGCGAAAAAAAAAAAAACGGACGCGACACCACCATGGCAAAACAGTCGGACGATAGCACCGCCAGTGTTAGGGCCCACACAGACGGCGAATCATTTTCGAACGCAAGCAGCTGATGCAGTTTTTTCTGTCTCTTCCGTTCCTGGAAGCCCAAGGTGGCACAGCTGGTAAAATCTAGGACCACGCAGCCACAGCTTTTCGTGTGCTTAATTCAGTTTGGCCGGAGGGTGTACTATTCTTGTTTCTTTTTTTTAAGTGTGTCACTGTAAAACCTATAAATTCTACGGTTTGGTCGAAGGGTCCATTTGTGTCGATTATGGTATGCCTTATAGCAAAACCGACGTACTCTGCATTGCATAGGTATCAGTACAGCATTTTCAAACTCACAAAACACAACGGCGATAATGCGCTCAAGTCTGGCCATACAATTTCATACCCTGGTCAAGCATAGAATGGATATACTGGCCATACAAAATCCTTTCGAAGTACACAACACCCCCCCCTCCCCCCGAAATTTTGCAGTTGCTTGTGCCCAGAGAGTAGAACAGCAAGAAGAGGACAAGGACAAGGAGGGTCTACATGTGGATGTGTACAGGATGTTGAAACCAGGGTTGGATATTGGGTATCGAATATCGATACAAAACTGATATATATCGACGATACGCAGTATCGGTATTGCCGGTTTCCACGCCGATATTTGTCGATACGAATCGGTATCGGTATCGATACCGGTATTCGATATTCGATATTTTGGCCCCCTTTTTACCGGGGGGGGGGGTCAGTTTCCCAGCTGTCTACCCCCTTTTTTCGCTCCGGCGCCTACGCGCCTACTCCTGTCGCCCCCCACTGCCATCACAACCACACACCACACACACACCACCAGCCCCTGCCAGCCACACACCACACCAACAGCGCCTGTGTCTCAGCTCCTGAGAACCACATCGGTGTGCAACATGAGCCTTCAAGAATTCGGCTTTGTCGCCGGCGATAGCGCTGCCTCTGCGGTCGACGTGTCTTCCGACGCACCAGCTCCACCTCCCTCTGCTGCTGTTGCTGCTGCCGTTGTTGCTGGTAGTAAGATAATATAAAACCAAGGGTTCGATTTTTTTCCGCGTTTTTTTCTCATGAAATCCTGCTCGCAGCCGAGCTTGCACTGATTCGATCGCAACCGTACGGCGGTGTTATAGTGTGTACGTGTATACACACATGCACACTGACTGTAAAATGTAAAACATATCTGGTGGACATAGCTACACAACCAACCTCTTGCACGATGCAGTTTTGTATGCGCAACATCACATCACAACGTGTGCCCGCTGTTGTTGTGCTCGTGATGTTCAACTGCACACACCTGGCACCTGGCAAACACCACTACTTCCATGCCGCCGAACTATGCGCGCACGTCTTGCGCACTGCTGTATACTTCAGATAAGGGTTTGGGTGTGCCAGGGTACGTGTAGATGCGTAACGCTCGCTCTTCTTGTAACCTGAGGCCTTCAAAACAGCCGTATCGATATCGAGTAAGTATCTCGATACTCGATACGTATCGAGCCATTTTCGGGATATCGAACAAAATATCGGTATTTGTGTTTTTTTCTCGATACGATGGGCGTATTGTATCGAACCCTTCTGCCCGACCAATATCCATCACTAAACAACCAATAGGTTCCAAGTAGAACATACATGGACCAATGGATGCAGGGACAAAGCTGAGGGTCAAGTGAAGGACTGGGGACATTGGCCTTCGAGTACGTATACAAAGATTGTTGAAGGTAAATGACGACAAGTTCAAGTGTGATTGCGGCTCCGAGTGCGAAGACCGGGTTCATGTAGTTGCAGCATGTCCATCTTATGGAACGTGTACATGACCTGAGCTGGGAAAAGTGGAAGGAAGGTACAGGGAGGTGTTTGAGGCATGGAATAGCCAGGAGAATACGGTAGCTAATACTGGGGCATGGGAAGTGGACTGAAAAGGCGGGTAGAGATATCGATAGGATAGAGAGGCTTGGAAGAGAAAACATTTTTGAGCCACCTTTGGCAAGTAGGAAGGAACTATTCGACCATCGGTGATCAGTCCTGCAGGAACAACGCGCCGTCCTCTCCAGGGCGCCTGGCCACTGGTCTAACCGCAAAGCCATGCACAACATGAGGAACGGTCCTTGATCCAGTGGGGGGTTGTGCGTTCGTCTGTTTTCTCAGGTGTTTCTCCTTGGGAATCCTTCAGAATGGGTCCCGTGACGGTGGACCGCGAGACAGGAAAATAGGTCCACATCTACCAACATAAGAAGGAACCTATCATATCACAGGAGGGGTGGGTAGGAGGAAAACCTTGTGTGTGACCACGGGTTGGAGTGATTGGCACAAGTGCTGTGAGCGTTCGTTTGACGTGAAGACCAAAACAACAGAACAACACAACACAAGAAGGAAAATATCGCAAAAGACGGGGGGATGGGGGGGGCGGCTATACACCTTACGAGCCCTGACCGAAAAACTCACCCCCGTCCTCGCCTTTCCCCGATGAGCACGGCAGCGAGTCGGGTATGGCCTCCCCCCTGCCGAGGACCACGTCTTCCCCCATGCCCATGCTCGCCAGCGCCGTGCCCAGCTTTCCCCGGCCAATGATCACGGAGGGCTGGTCGATGGTGTCCTCCGGAGCGTTGCCGTCCAGAAGGTCTTGGTGTTGGGGGGCATTTTCAGGGAGGGGGGGGGGGTATGGGAGGGCTGGGCGTGCTATTTGCAGAAGCGTCACGTGTAAGTGGTTGCCCAGAACAGGAACATGAAGCGCCTATTTTGAGAGTACCATCACCACCTGCAGCGGCGAGGCTTTCTCGAGTGTTACCAGGGTTAACACCAATTTCCGGACAGGTGGTGACAAGGACATGCCTCTTACTGTCTGCCGTAAGATTGTGTTAAAACATCGAGTGCACCTTGTACACGCATGAAAAAACGCCCTCCACCTATTGCTGGTACCTTTGTAGTCCTGAACCGCTTGTGGATTGGACCACACCTGCATGTGGAGGCCGTTCGGAGCAGCACTACTCTCCGAGCGCCCTCTCGAGCCAGAGCGGCGCGCGGCCTGCCGGTGGGCACGTGGGTAGAGATCGAAAGCAACACACACGAGAAAGGTGGTGCAGAACAGATCGAGACGGAATCATCACGGGGATGGCGTCTTGGATGTTGGATGCGGCGCGAGGGCGGGGTGGTTACGCAAGGGCAGCTCATTGTGTTCTATTCTACAAGACACACCCTTTTGGTGGCATGCCATTCTCCAACCGGTAGCACTGCAAATGCTAAGTCCTACCATGTGTTATCCTGCTGCATCCATCCCCGTTGTGTGTGTGTGTGCAATCGCGATGCGACGTGAGAAACACCAATACTCTGTAGGACAGTATCAGCCCTGTTTTTAATGTGTCCTGCATAGGTTAACTAGGGTGGTAATTCGGCAATTCGGCCCCTCGTTCGACACCAAACACATATCACCTCCGGGCGTGGTACGTACGTAAGCGCGGGCTCTCAATGACCTCTAGTTTTGGCAGAGGGTGGGGTTCTTTCAGCAGTACCGCTGAACGTATGGCAGTAGTTCCTATGCGAAGGGTTAAGGGTTGCTATTAAAATGGCAGCCGTATTGTACGTTTTCGTGCACGGGCCGACAGATCGAGCTCAAGTTTTCAAGACTATATCAATGTCTTGACTGTCAAGTTCTTGAGGGCGCGGGGGGGATCGCAGTACTTCCTCTTCAAAAAAACAGGAAACGCCTGGAAACGCCTGCATATCTCGGTTTTCCAAAGTCTAACTCCAGTACGAAACTACCATCGTAAATTAACCGTCCGCAGCGGTCGCTTGTGTACAATGTTAGTAGCTGAGGTT